ACTATTTTAGCGGTGAAGACGAGGATGACAAGATTATGCCTGGCATTGATCAGGAAGCGAACCAATACCAATATGCAGGAGTCAGCGTGCCCCAGGGAGGCTTTCAGTTATAGACTGCGTGTGCTTCGGCAAGACTGAAACTGGACTTAAAATCCCCCGTTCCTACACCGGAGAAGACACCCCCCTTGACGAGGAGCTGATGACAGACAGGACACCCCTCCCTACCCTCCCCTCCCATCATTGCTAAGCCACGCACACACTCATCTGAAGTGTGTAGAGCCTGCAAACTTCCATCGCGCGAGCGAGACGAGAGAGAGAGCGAGATATATGGTGAACCCCACTCAACCCCTGTAAGGAGAACTCCAAGACCCCTGCCCGTCTTATAAAAAGGCTAGAAAATACATTAAGACAATTGAGACGATAAAGACTGAGATATATTGTGAATCCCACTCAACCCCTATAAGGAGAACTCCAAGACCCCTACCCGTCTTGTAAAAGGCTAAAAAATACATTGAGACAGTTGAGACGATAAAGAGTGAGATATATGGTAAATCCCACTCAACCCCAATAAGGACACCGTCAGGACCCCTACCCGTCTTATGTTCATTGAGGCATTGAGACGAGCTCGAGTGAGATATATGGTGAACCCAACCCAACCCCCCTTAATGAGAACTCCGGGACCCCACCCTTCCCGTCTTATAAAAGGTTAGAATTGATCTCCAGGGAAAAAATTTAATAAAATGACCCCAGACATAAAGAGTTGATACCCAAAACGCCAGATCCCCAAGGAGGAGTTCCCGTGTCCATAAATATCCCCACAAGAATGGATCTTTGAGTAGAGAGAGAGAGAGAGAGAGAGAGTGCTTTTTTACAGGCAGTGATAGATGCTAATATCATTCCAATGTTGGTGGAAATTCTTAGTAAGGCAGAGTTTAAAACGAGAAAAGAGGCAGCTTGGGCCATAACCAATGCCACATCTGGAGGAACATCACAGCAGATAAGGTTGATGACAGTAGCTTTTTAAAAACATTATAGTTTGTTGCATCGTGTTATAAAGAAAATGGAGTGTAAATGCTTAGGCTTAGTCACGCAACTTGCCAAATTGGTGACTCAACATGCAATTTTGGTAGCCAATTTTTTTTTCAAACTCTTACAGTGCGACCGGGGAAGCCATGAACACTTGAAATATTTCAGGAATGTTTATTGTGTTATGACCAATCACAGCAGAGATGAAAACACGCTAATTAGCCAGAAAACTGCAAATTAATTCACCTCCTTGTTTGCTGTTTAGTTTTCCCATGGCTGATTGGCTTTTTTCTTGCAACACAATAACATTCCAGAAATATTTCTGGCGTTTTCGGTTTTCCCGGTTTGACCTAGTCTGCTACACAGCCGTTTTCAGAGTCGTCACGCAATGCTCCTCCCTCCCTGTGGGGAGAAGCGTTGTGTGACGACACTAAAAAAGGCTGTGTAGCAGACTAGGTTTGACCGTAATGGCAACCAAAATGATTGCATCTTGCAGCATTGATGGAGGATGGTGTACTCACCTCTACAGCACCCCACCCCTGCGCCTTCCCCAAATTGATGTGTTCATGTAAGAACTCTCTAATTCTCCTCCCATAACAGTTACCTTGTCAGCCAAGGAGCTATCAAGCCTTTGTGTGAGCTCTTGACGGTTATGGATTCAAAGATTGTTCAAGTTGCGCTTAGTGGATTAGAAAATATTTTAAGAGTGGGAAAACAGGAGGGACATCAGATGGATGGTGTTAATCAGTTTGCTGTTATGGTGGAGGAGGCGTATGGTAAGACATCTTCATTTTCTTCTAAGTACCAGGGACCCATTTCTCGAGAATCCCGGTAAATTTTCGGGCCCGAAAAGCTGTTTATATTTGCTGCGTCTGCATTCAAGATCAAAGTTTCAATTGTTAGAGAGAGAGAGAGAGAGAGAGAGTTACCCCGCGATAAAATTGTCCCACAGTACGTAGGTATACCCCGAAAGAATGGACCCCGTACCTCCCCATATTGGTGGTGAGAATAAAGACAGAATTTACAGAAAGGGACAATAAATGTTAGATTTCTTTGGGCTTCATTTTGTGCTCTTACGAAATGCACAGTGTTAGTTGACTTTAGTCGAAGCCAGTAACTTCGAGAGACGTTGCGTATAGCCTAGATGATTTAGAAAGGGCATTCGAATGTAACGAGAAAGACACTGATCATGCTTTTTAAATTTAAAGCAAAGACTTGAATTTAATGAAAAACGCTTCGAGCATGTACATACACAATAAATATTTAGGTATTGCTGAAGTGTCATTTACTTCCTAGCCAGTTGCAGGCGTCCAGATTGTGGGGACGGCGCAAAGAGCCTGGAACAGGCTATTTACGTCCGTTTCCGATGACGAGAAATTTATGGTTGTGGTTTTGGTGGTTTACCTTGCGCAAAAAAATTCCTTAAAATCCGGTTTAACAGTAAATTGAACACGACTTTTTGGGTCGTTCCAGTGGAAAAATACTTGGAGCAGCGGAACATTTGAAAAAATGTCCTGTTTTCCCGGTCGGGATATTCCAAAAGGAGATTGTGTTCCATTTCATCAAAGCCATCTATGATACCAGTTTCAGGCCTTCGCGGCCGTTTATCGGTAAATGGATTTGATTTGTACAAATGGTAAAGCCCATTCCAGGATTAAATTACTAGTCCTGAATTTTGCGTACCATTTGCCCAAACTGTAGCCTCCCACGCGCACGTTCTTTAAGGTTCGTCACGTTCCTGTGGTGCGGGAACCCGTGACGAACTCCTAAGAACGTCTGTGTGGGAGGCTACCCAAACTGTGGACCGACCGGTTTGCGCATGCAAATGGGAAACAGCCTTTGCCTCCTTTAAAACTGAAAGGTTTGAACCCAGGAGTCATTTTGTAAGTAGGTAGCCAATAATATCACGACTAAACTGACAGACGACCACTAACATCGCGACTTAATTGACCTATCAGGTCAATAACCAGAGTTTATATTAATACCATGAACTGATGTGATACAACTCACTTTGACTCTAAAGATGACAACCGTACAGGTCGTCGAAACGTCAGTCACTGTCAACAACAGTCTTTTTCAGGACTACGTACGTTAACTCAACCTACTTTGCCTCCTTTCCTTTGCAGAAAGGTAGCCAACATTTTTGTATTAGCCATTTGGGGGTTTATATGAGACTGGACAGGTATCGTGTTGAATTGCACTATATATGGCACTGTTTTGAAGACGCTTTTCCCTTTCCTTTATTGCGGGCGATATTGGGAGCCGGCCGCCTGTTCTTGGTCAGCGGCACTCTTTCAACTGCATAGTGCTCTCCACATTGTTGTGCCGACTAATATGTATTGTATGTGGCCTCGAAGGCCCTGGTGTTGAGTTTAAGGTCCGTCTGGTGTCACGGTTATCAGGTGAAAGCACATGCATGCAACAATCATGTTTGCAGTCGATTCGCAAGCACACGCAATTCAGGTACACAAGTACTGTACTAAATGGCCGTTCTCCAAATCTGAGCCTGTCGAAAATGCTATTTTCTACACCCATTTTTAGACCTGGTCTCGGTCTCTAACATCCATGAAAGGGGTCACAAACGCGATGTACATGTTAATATAGGTGGAAGTCATGTCATTATTTAATTTCGGTTCTTATTCATGAATAGGTCATTAACCGCCCCCCCTCCCCCCCTTCCCCTCCAAATACTGTCTTTTTGCTTCGACTGCCCCTATGTTGGGCTTCTCGTCTGGATTTTCCCTTCCTCATATCCCCAGGGCTTTCAAATGGAAATGTGGCATATATAAGAATGTCCCTCTTACTAACACATACTAATTTCTTTTTTTTTTCGGTGCCTCTCAATTTCATATCTCCTATTGGTTTAAAACTATAAATTGAATTCTCTTCTAACTCCTTTTAATAAAATTCAGAGTTTCATTTTCAGTTGCCTTGAGCAGCGGCATAACCTACCCTGCCCATCAAGCGTTTCCGTGCGGTTTAGGAGCAAAAAACGAGGAACGACAGTCAAAGACCGCGCGAAAAATGGCGCAAGTAAAACAGCGGGGAGGGGGTGGGAAGAAAGGGAGGAAAGAAAGTTATGCTTTCCTTTTCCACGCCGACGTTGGGAGAATAGACTGCGTGACCTGCCAAAGGAATTATGATTGTTGACAACTGTGGCTCTTGTCTTATTTGTAGTTCTTGAGAATTTTTATAAATATTTTAAGCATTTTTCTGTGTATGTTAGTGTGGATAACTCCGTAATCTTTTAACTTTTAAATTTTCAGAGTCTTTTAACTTTTTGTAAATTTTCAGATTTTAGAGAATTATAAATTTACCTATTTATACCATGTTTCATTTTATATTTTTTTGCCCATTATTTTAGTGTCCCCAATTAGCTTTTATAAGCTAAAGACATCGACATTTAAATAAAGTTGTTATGTTATTAGGCAAGAAGCTGGGACTACTGTTTAATGCTAGTCCACTATCCTTTTCTCTCAGTCNGTAGTTCTTGAGAATTTTTATAAATATTTTAAGCATTTTTCTGTGTATGTTAGTGTGGATAACTCCGTAATCTTTTAACTTTTAAATTTTCAGAGTCTTTTAACTTTTTGTAAATTTTAGATTCTAGAGAATTATAAATTTACCTATTTATACCATGTTTCATTTTATATTTTTTTTCCCATTATTTTAGTGTCCCCAATTAGCTTTTATAAGCTAAAGACATCGACATTTAAATAAAGTTGTTATGTTATTAGGCAAGAAGCTGGGACTACTGTTTAATGCTAGTCCACTATCCTTTTCTCTCAGTCGAAGCTGTTTTTATATACACAGTCCGTAGTCCGCACTTTATGCCAAGTCCGCAGTCCGTGGTCCGCAGTCCGCAGTCCACGTTTGAAACTGACGGCCTTTGCGAGGCTACCAAGTTAAGTGTGTCCGTGGCAGTACTAGCCAGTCAGTAACATCAGCAAAAGTACGGTTTATGCAACAAAATAATGGAATCCACTGAGACGTGCAGAGTCCTTTCTATTCAAAGCCATGTTGTATCAGGTTATGTAGGGAATGATTCAGCGACATTTCCTCTTCAGGTAAGCTAGTTTTTACACTTCCCGTACCAGTGGAACGTGACACCAACACCGGTTTTTCCCGCTGGCTGCAGTGGTACCACTGTACACTAATTAGACCATGTTCAGCTTCATGACAGAGCTACCTTTTGAAAAGTGTTTTCATACTAGAAGTCAAGGATTCCTTCGACATACTTTCGTTCGGATATTGTTACTTATAACAACATCAGTGATCAATGCAGTTGTCATATTGTGTGGGGATGTGTGCTACTCTGAAGTGTTTAGAATGCGAGCTGTTTTGTTTAGGACAGCAGGGCAGGGAATAAGAATCCATTGGTCAGTGTTTTAGGGGGTGATTGATCAGTGGCTGAAGAATTTAGTGTTGGAAATTTGTAATTACTGGTTTTGTTATTCAAATTTGTCACGCATGAAGCAAAGGAATATTTTTTTTTCCAGAATCAATGTGCTTCTGGTTGGCACATTAATATCAATAGGTGACTTCAGCGTGAGTATTGCTAGCGATACTCATACACCTGCACGCTGACCTCACCACTCGTTACGAAGCTGAATAACAAAAACAACGTTTGTAAACAGTGTTATCTCACATAGGTGTTCTTAGAAATAGCCTCTCACGCAGATGTTTTAATAAGGGTGTCGTCATGCATAATACCCCAGAAATGTCTTGTGAAACAAGAAAGTAAAAAATTTAGACCAATCACAGCACACTTTCAGATCTCAGAAGTGTATTTTACACTGTCCAACCTTTTGAGTATGAAAACTCTGGAGATTGCTAAACCATAGAGAAATAACTCGAGTGCCAACAATAATTGGGATTTGTCATATCCCGATTGTACATTAGTAAGATTTCTGGATTTTCAAGCAACTTTGGGGCAATCTTGATGAAATTGGGACAAAAACGGGATAAGAACGGAAAGTCTCTGGAAGATCTCCTTGTTTATATCAAAACTCTAAGGTCACAAATACGCTTCACTTGTGAGTCTTGTTTGGCCTGTCAACACTTTATTTTCTGCTGATAATGATTCAGGTGGTTGTCCTTCGTGTCCAAAGAAGACTGCGTGTTGTATGATCATCTATGGATTCTCTGGTGGCTCTGCAAACTCAGTCTGGGAGGGCAAAGTCTAGAACAGGTGGGGCACTAGAACTCCATTACTGTGATATCAGCAGAGGATGCTCTGTAGTGTCGTTCATAGGCTACGATAAGTCTTTGACAGTGGTCATCCTTGAAAGTGTTGGAGGCTGTGTGGGTCAGTGAGCGCCCGTGACTTCTGTCACTGGCTACAGCCTCAAGTTCTTTCGGCTGGTTGCCAACACCACTGAAGGTTTTCCCTCACAGTGTCCTTGTGCTGCTTGCGTGGGCAGCCTTGCTTTTTCTTGCCGGCCCCAAGCTCTCCATACAACAGTTGACAGGGCAGGCGATGATTGTCCATCCTGATGACATTTCCCACCCATCGCAGCTGGGCCTTGATGAGTATAGTCTCAATGCTGGTGCACCCTGCATGGTCCAGGACCTCGAGGTTGTGATATAGTCTTGCTAGCGGATGCCAAGTATGGAACGGAGAGCACACATGCAAAAGTTCTCCACCTATTTGATATGCCTGCGGCATGTGTGTGATGAAGAGATTAAACAGGACTGGGTGTAGGATGCAGCCCTGTTTTATTCCATTTGTTATGGCAAAGGCAGCTGACTGGTCGCTGCTGCTAAGACTTAATTGTCCTCTCATTCTATCATGAAGCAGCTGGATCAGCCTCACAAACTTCTTTGGGCAGCCATATCTCTCCAGGACCATTCAGAGGGCATCCCTGTTGACTGTATCAACGGCCCTTGTCAGATTTATAAAGACAGAGAAGAGGGCCTTGTTCTGTTCAATGCACTTCTTTTGCACCTGTCTGATGACAAAATTGTGTCCACGGTGCTGCACCCTGGTCTGAAGCCACACTGCACCTCTGGGAAACCTCTTTCAGTTTCCATGATCAGTCAGTTCAGGAGAATGCGAGTAACGATAGTTCCCGCTACAGAAAGAAGTGAGATGCCTCTGTAGTTTCCACAGTTGGACTTGCTCCCCTTGTTGTTGTAGAGAGCAGCAATGAGAGCATTGCAAAAAAAAGTCTTCAGGCATGGCCTCTTTGCTCTATATGCTCTGCAGAACATCATGGAAAGCCTCCAGTGCATTGGGGCTCGCAGCCTCGAAGATCTCAGCTGGGATACTGTCGTTTATGATTATTGGCCTTTATATTAAACCATGACTTAGTGCTGATTTGTTCTCTGTTCATTTGCTAGTGATCTCCAGCTGATAATTGCAAACAAAGGGAAAAGGAATTTAACTGCTTGTTTCATCAGATGTTCTTGGGGCAGAAACTGCTGATGAAGCCCCAACAATGTCTGTGTCAGAGGCTATCTGGGATAGAGCCACATTTCTGGTTTGTAGATCACGGATGCAGTTACTGGATTAATAGAGGAATAGAGCTGATCAAAGATCTTCCATTAGGTATCACAGTCCCTGTGAGACACCAACAAGTGGGAGGGGGGCAGGGGGAGTTGGAGATGAAAAATGCCTTTCAAGCTTAATACTCCTACTGAAATCCAGTGTATTTAACTGTTAGCACCCCGGAAAAAAAAAAACAGTCTAGTTATGCATTTGAAATTTTGAATAGCTGGCTTGACCATCCATTTGGTGATCAGTGACTTTCTTTAATTTTTGAAAGGCAATAGCTGAATGTGAGAGTGAGCACTGTAAGTGATGGGATGATGAGCAGAGCAGGAAGAAACCTAAGCTGTTCTTATTTTTATAACCGCACTCATGACTCCACTTAACGAATCCAATAATTTTTGATTGTTACTCTTTCGAAAGCATGCAGACTCCAATTCTGATCTTGTTATGAGTGAAAATCAGACTAAGAGTGGATTTCCGCTACCGCGTAATTTTTACGCCTAAATTTTATAAGTGTAAATAGAGTAAAGGCAGTGTATGAAGTGTCATGCAAAAGTATAAGTAAAAGTTGAGCGAGGTTCAACTTTTGCCTTTTCTACATTGCCTCTAATTTATTTATGCACATCAATTTTACGCATGTATGGACATTAAAACTACTTGACAGTGGAAATCTACCCTAAAAGGACTATAGGTACTTGAGGTAATCCTAACATGATGTTACTCCATCCTTTTTTTATTTTAGGTTCTTGGATTTGAGGTTGACACAATCAATTCAGTACAACTTTCCAATCACACTGGTTTGTTTCATGTCTATCATTAATATTGCTTTTGTTGTTTAACGACAGATAGTAAAATAGTTTTTCACATGTTGTTCTTTTTAATACATATTTTAATGATCCTTCCTACTTAACAATGTCATTGTTTTTTTAAACCAGGGCACCTGATAATGTGAGATGGTACAATTTGGTACAATTAATCCAAATCATATCTGATTGTGTAATCCATAAGAAATCCTGTAATAAACTGCTGCATAATCTGCACCAGATAACAAATTTAACTACTAATTTGAAAAAATGCACTTTTATTTGAGTGTCAATGTGATTTTAATTAGGTCAAAAGTACTAATTGGAGACACTATTTTTATGGCTACAACTGGAGACAGGACTGCCATTTTACGTGGTCATGCTAGCCATGCGAAGGTCTAGCAAAGGGAGTACCTTCATTTCTCAGTTATTTTAAGACCCTGATAATTATTAGTCCAGTCCAGCGAATCAAACCTACACCCCCCCCCCCCCCCCCCCCCCCCGCGCTCAACACCCACCCCCCCGCCCTCCCCCCTCCCCACTGTGCGGTCAAACACTCAACCTACTGGCCTTATCCTGCTGCGGTAAGGCTATTAAAAAGTTTCAAAATACTGTGTTGAGCTTCCAAAATGTTCCTCAAGTTTTGATGTTAATCTAGTGAACAAACTATAAAATATTCACATTATCGCGTAATTTATTTCCCTATGATAAACCTTAGATGTGTGCTTCATTTGTGTGCCATCTCCTCAAGAGATGTCTTAGTTTCCTCAAATTTTTTTTCACACCATTACACAGTCTGATAAACACTTACTTCTAAAGGTGCATGTTTCTGTTTAGTAGGCTATGAGCATATGAAAGGTCAAGTGTTGGATTCAAAGGAACTTAAAGAACTGTTTGAAGGACTGAAACTCAACAATTTGCATCACTTTTCTCATCTGCTTACAGGTACACATTTTAACTATGTTGTATGCAGTGTAAAAGAGGTTGTTCATAAACCCATTTGCTCCAGGGAATTTTGTCAAAAATCACCTTTTGAGGGTAGTCAAGCTGTTTTCTGGTCGTTGTCTGGCTATAATGAGTCAAAATAATGCCATTTATAAGTTGGGCACTTCGAGGCCTGTTTGTCCCAGGTGCAATGAAATATCAGCTTTCGAAGCTTGGGCATTTGCAGATCAAAGCAATTTTTTTTAGTGTTGGGTTTGATACAGTCTTAACCTCCCCTCTAATTTCCCTTTCATTGCCCCATTTTGTTTCTTGTGAACACCTTGTTTCTGAATAGTTCTGTTTCTTTTGTCCTTTAAATAATTGTGACCAGAAAAAGTTGACATGCAGACAGCTTTTTCTAGGAAAATCGTAGGGTATGCAATAGAAAAATGAAAATTAACAATTGCAAAAAAGAATTAAAGAAGTCTGTTACAAGTTTAGCTCAAATGTGGGTAGTTGTGGCAGCATTCTGACTCTCTTTTTTGAACGTGAAAGCCAGATGAAAGTCTAGAAAAACATGTGAACTGTTGCTGCTGTTGTCCAATCAGAAGCCAGTATTTCACCTCATTAGACTTAGCAAGAAAAATGCAACTCTGATACAGGATAGTTTTGCAAATAGCCTCAGTAGGCAATAAATGATTGGTATGCCAGTACCCTACCCTGCAGTTGCTAAGATAATTTTCATTGTTAAAATAGGGTCACTCTTTTTGGATCCAGAGTAATTTGAACCACTGATTGATTTAATATAATATAATCTCGTACCCAGATCTCACTCTGTTTTACAATTTTTTCCCTTGGCCGTGGGAGATCTGGGTACGAGATTAAATATAATATGGAAGCTTTCCTGCGGGATTTTGATTGATTACCTTTATTGAACTTGCATTATTAAGGGTTAATATTTAATTGAACAAGCACTTTAAGAAATTTAAGAAACATACAGTGAGACAGAAGCTAAGCTAATGCTAACCACAAATCTTTGCACACTCTTGACGTCATAACTCTCTCGCATGGCTCCTTGGGTCGACTTTGATGTACATTTTATTGCATCAGTCTCTAAGGTCCAAAAAATGCATTTTTTGCACCAAAGGGTAAAATATAGGCCTACGACCATTTTACAGTCTCTAGTCAGCTGACTGAATTCGTTTCGCTCTGCAGTAAACGCAGAATACCCTGCCACATTGACTACGCGACTGAAAAAAAAATGGCTACGCTGTATGCGAAATTAATTCAAACATGGCATGCTTGTTTTACTTAAGGCCTTTTTCAAAGAACGGAGAACTCACTTGCGTAACACGCGCGTTCACTTCGGGAATTTATCTGTCACTCAGGCAATGTAATTTTTTGACATTACACGTATTTCCTACTGCCTGCCCCCTTCCCTGCGTATTTGTTACTGCCTACCCCCCTTCCTTGGGTTATGTTTAGAAAATTCAATATACGTTTTTCTAATCAGCTTTGCAGTAGTCTTTGGACTTCTCATTTTTGGTTCTAAATATTTTGGCTGATTAGATTCCAACGCCTGTCCCTGTATCAGGGACCTAGCCTACCTAGCAGGCGCTTAGAAGTAGTGGGCGCATGAAAGAACGGGCGCGCGAGAGAGGGAACTCCCCCTCCCTCCCTCCGTCTCCTCTTGCGTGTCTCCCTCTCGCGCGCCCGTTTTCTCTTGCGCCCACACTTCCAAGCGCCTGCTACGCACGCTGTCAGGGGCATCAAGGCTATGTTCGTACTTTAACCCTTTAAGTCCCAATAGTGACCAACAACAATTTTCTCCTAACGATATCCATAGATTGTCAAGAGATACAGTTATGAGAATTAACAAATGATCACCAAAGAGAAAATGCCTTGATCTTTTATTAAATTCTCTCAACTAATTCTTAAAGGAAATGTATGGAGATCAGTTTGGAGAATTTGTATTTGGATATTGGGACTGAAGGGGTTAACGGATAGCTCAGTTTACGTGCCGACACGAAAAGCTATCGGAAGTAGTATGAATACGTATCATATGTACCGCGCCAAAATCACCGTTGTATGTGTAAACAGAAGCCCTTATCTAACTTAACAACACTACCTAACAACAGCTTTGCACGTGCAGCACACTTTTTTGTACATTTCTTTATCGTCTCCGCACCACCACGACGTGAAAATGTTTATTTCCACTTCTCTTTACGGCGTAGACGCCGTCGTAATCCACCGTCATAAACTACGTCGTCTTCCATCGGGTGATCACAAGACAAGCAAACTTCATTGATGATGTGGGGAAGTAACAGAGGCTTTTGGAGTGGCATTCATTCCGTCGGATCCATTTCCTGATGTTAATGTGTACTGCGGTGGTGTTACACTTGCTGTATACTCTGGTGGGGGCTGTTGGAAGGTATTGATGGCCGGTTGCGGGAGGTGAGATGTGGTGCTTTCTGTCAAGTGCCCGAAAGGAACGTTGGAGAATGCCATTAAACGTTGTTGCCGTCTCCGGTGATAAAAGTAGCCGAAGACTACGATAGCAACAATAACAACAAATGCACATGCTGCGGTAACAGGTATGATGATGTTCAGATTGCATTTCGTGCCATTTTTACACTTCCTACCACAGCAAACTTGACCACCAGAGCAGTCAGAGTTTAAAGTACAGCCTTGACCACTACAATCTTTCCCTTGAACACACACATCATTACAGCATGATTCATCAAAACCACATTCCGACTGCAGCACGCAGAAGCGACCGATGCAATTGTTGCCTTGAACGCATCTGGAATCACAGCATACCGAGTTACTCGGACACTGAGTGTTGGAAGAGCAGTAATCACCGAGGCAAGGTGTTGTTTCGAAGCGACAAATCCCGACTGAAGTCTGTCTGCAACACTTTTCCGAATATCTGCAATCGCTCGAGCTGGAACAGGATTCACCGATGCACTTCACGCCAGAAATAAATGCCCCCAAAACAATCAACGTACACAATATGATATTTTTCTTGTAAGATAAACAGAGCACCATACCAACTCTTAGTAATGCCATCCTTTAGATTTGCGAGTTCTCGGTTCTCGACTTCGCGTGATCAAATGTTGCTTGAGACGGTATTATCCTCAAAAAATATGTAAATTTTGTAGGCGTTTTCTTACGTCAGATCCCCCTGTATCCGCCTTACTAACTTTCAGAAATATAAACCATTTATTAATGGCCTCAATAAGCGATAAATGATCGGTAAACCCTATGACGTTGCCAAGATAATTCATTGTTAAAATAGGGTCACTCTCTTCGGATCCAGTCTAACCTGAACCTCTGATTGATTTATTATTATGCGGAAGCTGTACTGCAGAATTTTCAATTGATTTATTACCTTTATTGAACTTGCATAAAATTTAACAAGCGCTATCAGAAATTTAAGGAAGTGAGTGATAGTGACTTGACTAATTTTAACCACAAATCTTTGCACCACTTGTCACGTCATAACTCTCTCGCGAGGTTCCTTGGGTCGACCGTGATGTACATTTACACTTTATTGCATCTTCAGTCTCTGGGGTCAAAAAAATGCATGTTTCGCAAAATTCTCCGCAGAGGGTAAAAAGTAGGCCTACGACTATTTTACAGTCACTGGTCAGCTGACTGAATTCGTTTCGCTTTTTTACAACTTTCTTTCTTGGCTGTGGAGTAACCGCAGAATACCCTGCCACATTGACTACGTCACTGAAAAACAGTGGCTACGCGGTATGCGGAATTAACTCAAGCGTGGCACGCCTGTTTTTCTTTTTTTTAAAGAACGAGGAAATCACTTTTATTTCTCACTTAAAGAATGTATTTTTGACATTACATGTTTCTCTTATTGCGTACCCCCAGGGAGAGGGTACTTAGGTTAATTTTTGCTGTGTATGTGCCGCTGGCCTCTCAGAGTCCCTGTAGATCCTATTTTAGTCACTTCTGGGCAAATGTAATTTTCGCGATCCCCACTTAGTCACTTTCTATTTATGCATCTACCTTATCAATCTTTTAAATAGGTCATCCTAAAAGGAATTGACCCATCTTTTTAAATTGACTGAAGACCTTACTTTTTACGTACAGTAGAAAGATTGAGTTACTTTTACTAACCGTTAATGTAAAGAACTTTCTTACCCCAAAAATCCGAAAATGTGCGACCCTATTCTATTTACTCCCTTGAAAATGCAGCCCCGTTATAGTCAATCCAGTCGTGAAAATGCGACCCCACCCAGGGGCACATCCCCACTAGCCTCTAGTAAGCAAGTACCACCTCCTCCCCCCCCCCCCCCCGGGCCCCCCTGCCCCCATAAAGGCGCCCTAAGCCCACTTTTTCCATTTACCCGGAACCCACGTTTTGTGCCCTGCCGAAAAAACAATGGGGAAAAATTTAAATACCTATCCCCTTGTCAGATCCCCCTTAATAGTTTACGGAGGGGCGCCCTTTCCCCCTAACTTTTTTTACCCCAAAAACCCAAAATGTGCGCCCCCTTTTTTTTTTCCCCCCTTAAAAAGCCGCCCCCTTTTAACCAACCCCGGCGGGAAAAACGCCCCCCCCCCCGGGGGCCCCCCCCCCCTGCCCCTAGAAAGGAAGTACCCCCCCCCCCCCCCCCCCCCCCGGGGCCACCTGTCCCTATACAAGGGACCTTAAGGCTATCTTCGTACTTTACCGGATAGCTCGGTTGTCGTGCCGACACGAAAAGCTATCGGGAAAATTATAAATACCTATCCGATATGTCAGTCTCCACTTAAGAGATCGGCGAGGCGCTGCTTCGCACCGTTACGGAAATCGCGCCGAAATCATCGTTCTATGTGTGAACAGAAGTCCTATCTAACAAAAAAACTTCTAGCCTGCGTAGCAAGCGTTTTCAATCGAGTTATTACGCGAAAGGTAGAGCGGGAGCTAAAAACAAATGGAAGAGCGAAGGGGAGGGAGAAAAGGAAACCTTCTCTCCCCTCCCCTCCCCTCCCCCGTCATTCCTTTTTTCAGGGTTTGTACAGGTCATGGAAAACCAACAACAACAACAACAACAAAACTTCATTAATAAACAAATAAAATTACGGACTAAAGAAACACAGAATTAAACAAATAAATTGTAAAGGTAGAAACTATAATAAGCAAGGTTTTTGGTTTTTGACATGTTTGACTAATTGAACGTCTGTGATTTTCTTCAGTTGATTCTTGAGATGTTGAATTCCTTTTCCTAACGCTTGGTTTTCTTTTCTTAGTTTCTCAGTTCCGGTCATAGTTGAGTAAAAGTTAAAAGATTTAGAAGAAATTTAGTAAGAAGCCCAGAGTGATCGAGAACACGCCCGACTAGTACGCTCTCGGTACCAGTTTTCTCTGGGAAGTCATGAAATTTAAGAAAGTCATGGAAATTTAAGGCTATGTTTGGGAGATTAGTCACTGCAGATACTAATGCTAGGAAAATGTAAGACAGAGACGAGTGATTAAACATTGCAAATTGTACGCATTTTAGTGGACACCAGAGTTTGTCTGTTGTGCTGAGTTAGGGCGAAAAATTCCCTAAAACAAGGAAAATTTTGAGACGCGTTCGAATGTTGTTGAAGTGAGGGGATTTAGATCTGTGACTCGGGATGCTACTCAATCGCGAAAAGGCGGTCGGGATTCCGGCGGAATAGTCTTACTTTAAAAATGCATTTCATGACTGGATTTCAATTGTCAAAAAGACCTGCAATTTCCTATGGTTCAAGATTGACAAAGACTATGCCGAAACCGTCAAAGATATCTATCTATACGTGTGGCCTTTATATACCTCCATGTAATTCACCGTATTTTAATGTAGAATTATTTGAAGAAGGGAGTTTATGGGTGACTTGAACGCTAGAACTGGAAAGTATTCCGACAGTGTTTGTAAAGAGGGAAATAACCTCATTACAAACGTCCAATCAGAATTCTCTCACTGCCCAACCCAGAGAAATAATTTTGTTAACGAATTAAACTGTCACGGTAAAAGGCTCCTTGAAATTGTAAAAGTGCAGACCTTAGGATTCTACAGGGAAGAGTCAGTGGTCATACCCTATACCATACGTGAGCAATACCATGATACTCTGGCCCAATACAAGAAATTACTTAATTCTAAAAAGAATGATTATTACAATGCCAAGATATCGGAGCTAGAAAAAACTGCAGACAATTCAGAGGCTTAAACTTTCTGGCAATGCCTCAAATCGAAGGACGACACTAGAAAAGGAGAGGATTTTCCATCAATCTCGGAAGAAAAACTGGCTGCAACATTTCCACAATCTTCATTAAAATGAACCTCTTAACCCAGCACAGCAAAACATTTGCAATGAGCTACGACAAAATCAATGCCATGGTCAACACTCTCGTACTTTAGATTTCATGATAACTGAAAGAGAAATACGTAAAGCTGTAAAAAAGTTAAAGAATAATAAATCACCATTTTCGGATAAAATTAGAAATGAAATGATAAAAGCTTAGGTACTGATACACTGATGCCCGTATATGAAAATTATTTAATTCAATTCTTAACCAAGGGACCATGCCACAGACTTGGTGTGGTGGTGTTATTACTCCCATTTATAAATCGGGCGGACGAAGCGATCAGGCAAACTACCTGGGTATCTGTGTCTCCAGCTGCCTGGGAAAACTATTTTGTTCCATCTTAAACCAACGACTTTTCGAGTATATCGTTTCTTTGAATATACTCCACAAATCTCAAATTGGCTTTTTACCGAATAACCGCACAGCAGACCACGTCTTCACTCTCCGAGTACGTTCATAATCACAACGAAAAGATCTATGCTTGTTTTGTAGATTTCAAAGACGCTTTTGACTCGGTCTGGCATGACGGGCTCTTGAATAAGCTGCTGCAAATTGATGTAGGTGGTTCATTTTATAACTTAATTAAAAACTTATATCACAACTCTTCCTGCTGGATTAAAATTGCCCAAAAACAAACGCGATCATTCCGTTATGCGAGAGTTGTGAGGCAATGCTGTATCTTAAGTCCACTGCTTTTTAATCTTTATATTAACGACCTACCTTTCGCATCTGAAAATACATTATCTGATCCTTTTGTTTTGCCAAACGGTGCAAACTAAATTCTCTATTATATGGAGACGAATTAATCATTTCATCACGATCCAAAACAGGATTACAAAATTGCCTCGATAAACTATTTTCATTCTGAACTTCATGGACGATGAAAATCAATCCCAAGAAAACAAAAATTATGGTTTTTCAGAAACGTGCGAGAAAAAATGCTGATTTTGACCTTCTCATAGATAGTCAAACAATTGATGTTGTACAAGAGTACACTTACTTAGGAACTCAGTGTCACATGAACATCTCAAGGAGAAAGCTCTTCATGCCCTCTTCAGCTTGAGACGACACACAAATCTTAGCAAACTAAAAGCAGCTCTCGCCTGTAACAGATTTGATACTATGATCTCCCCTATTCTAACATATAACAGTGAAATTTGGAGTTTGTATGCCAAAACAGATTTTAAGACCTGGGACGGCTCACAAATCGCGAAGGCACACCTTCAATTTTGTAAACGATACTTGGAGGTAAACAACAAAGCTTCTAATATAGCTTGTAGAACAGAGCTTGGTCGTTTTCCTATAAATATCACAATCAATCAAAGAATTCTCAAATACATTTTGTATATACAGTCTAAAGATGAGGAATCTCTCGTCGAACAAGTTTTTTTAATGTCATTCGACTTACACTGTAATGGCAATAATAGCTTCCACTCTCATTTTATGAATATGTCAGAATACTTTGAGACTTTAACCCTGAGATATATCTATGGTAAAAAGCTATGTAAGCTCAATGAAACAGGAATATATCTCATATTGGCAAAACACCCTTCAACATTCTCGAAAACTTGAATTTTATAGCTCTTTTAAAACCGATCATACCTCCTGTAGTTATTTAGACTGAACAAGAAGAACAGCTGGGAGAAGAGCTTTAGTAAAACTACGAATAAGCAATCACAAACTAATGATAGAAATAGGCATATACAATCAAACTGCGAAGGACAATAGGCATTGCCCTTTTTGTGGATGCAATGTAATGGAAGACGAAGTTCACTTCCTTTTTCAATGTCCTACATACTCTATGATTAGGAATAAATTTAAAGTCAAGACTCTGATTCCAGATATTACCCAGTTACCTATAAACGGTTTGATCAATGAACTGATGAACTCTTCTTATTACTTTATCAATATGCAATTCGTAAAATATATTTTAGCTTGTTTTGATGTTCGTAACAAATTATTATCAAAGTAACGTAATTGCCCTGTGTTGTAATGTTGATTCCTAAACATAGCTTTTGCAATACTGTATGTGCTTGTATGGTCATGCAAATAAAGCTCGTTGTTGTTGTTGAGAAATATTTAACGTGGCAGCTAAACCTAAGGTCATGGAAAAAGTGGAAAGGTCGTGGAAAAGGTGGAAAGGTCATGGAAAAAGTGGAAAGGCCATGGAAAAAGTGGAAAGGTCATGGAAAAAGTGGAAAGGCCATGGAAAAAGTGGAAAGGTCATGGAAGAAGTGGAAAGGTCATGGAAAAAGTGGAAAGGTCATGGAAAAAGTCATGGAAAGTCATGAACTTGAAGAGCTCAAAAGAGTACGAACCCTGTTTTTTGCTCTTGCCCCAACTTTCTCGACAAACTAGCGTGGAAACGCTTGCTATGCAGACTACAACACTACCTAACAACAGCTTTGCACGTGCAGCACACTTTTTAGTACATTTTATCGTCACCGCTCGACCACAACGTGAAAATGTTTATTTTCACCTTTTATGGAGGACATGATTAAGCGACGGTCAAATTTTCCTTCTCTTTATGGCCTTTAGGTATGTTACTTAGGAATTCAACTCCAGTAGATTTCGCCAACATTTGACACAGAAAGTGAAAGGGAATAATTGAAATGAAGATCGAAAAAATGCTAATTCACTTTTTAAGCGACGTTTTCGTCGCCGTTGCCGTCGGCGTCCTCGGATCTTAAGTCCCTAGTAAGTAAATTAGGACGCCGTTGTAATGAACCGTCATAAACTGAGTCGTATTTCATCGGGTGATCACAAGACAGGCAAACTTCATTGATGATGTGGGGAAGTAACAGAGGCTTTTGGAGTGGCATTCATTCCGCCGGATCCATTGCTTGATGTTAATGTGTGCGGTGGTGTTACACTTGCTGTATACTCTGGTGGGTGCTGTTGGAAGGGATTGGTGATCGGTTGCGGGAGGTGAGATGTGGTGCTTTCTGTTAAGTGCCCGAAAGGAACGTTGGAGAATGCCATTAAACGTTGTTGCCGCCTCCGGTGATAAAAATAGCCGCAAACTGTATGATGATGTTCAGATTGCATTTCGTGCCATTTTTACGCTTCTTACCACAGCACGCTTGACCACCAGAGCACTCTAAGTCATAAGGATAGCTTTGACTTCTACAATCTTTCCCGTAAACACACAAATCATTACAGCATGATTCATCGAAACCACATTCCGACTGCAGCACGCAGGAGCGACCGATGCAACTTTTGCCTGGAACGCATCAGCTACCACAGCATACCGAGTTACGCGGACACTGAGTGTTGGAAGAGCAGTAATCAGGGGCACCCAACGAGAATATAGTTAAAAACTACTTACCTTCTTATAGGAAATTAACTCTCCGTGAAATTAACGCGAATCATTAAAATTCCCGTTAATTTAAGTCGCGGTTATTTTGTTGAGCGTTAATTTCCGCGACGTTAATTAAGTGCAGCGTTAATTTCCGCGCTCTTAATTACCAGTATTTTAACCCCAATTTCGGAACCTGTCCAGACATTCTTGACACCTAAAAAACATTAACTACAAGCTTTCTTTCTTTCCATTTACCTCTTATTTTTCATCTTTCACAAAAGCTAAGGCGTAGGTTTACAATATTTCGAGTTCATCTTCATCGTTGTCGCTGTCAGAAGTGATGTCAATATCTTCTCCTTTGATTTCGGCCAAGATAATCGCGTTAATTTCCTTTTTTATGAAATTCTACCTCCTCTTTCGCGTTAATTTTCTTTATTCGAAAGTCATTTTACATAAATTCGCGTTAATTTAAATCGCGTTAATTTCCAATACCTTAATTTCATAGAGCGTTAATTTCCTATAATAAGGTAAACATAGCATTGTAAATTTATTTCAGTATTTAAAAGAACATTAATAATGGTTATGCTTTTGTGCTCAGTAATGATTATGATAAGATTAGCAAAAATATCCACGATTATATGAAAGGCATCAGAGTACCGTATAAATATTGCATCAAACATTTCTATAATAAGGACACACTAAAAATACATTATAAAGTTATCCACCGAATTGAAAAATAAAATTATCACAAACTTAAAGCAAGTCAGTATCTATTTAACATACCTTTTTTACATTCCATAATTATATACATGATATATATATGGAAGATTTTATCCGTCTTTTAGCCAAACAACAATCTCTATCAGGAGGCACTAGTTTAATATCTATGTATATTCCTCCAAATGGTGGAGTAAGCCTTAGTAAACAAAAATTGACCAATGAAATGGGACTTGTCTCAAATATTAAGTCAAAAGTCGTACAAAAACACACAAAAACCGCCCTAAAATGAGCATTATAGCAACTAAACCAGCTATAAGAACCAAGAATTTCATGCCATGGGTTATTACTACTATCTGGCGTCATAAAACATACTTGTGAAGGATACAAAGGATCAGTACTCATTGAACCTGAGCAAGCGATAGAAAAAGCTGATTATAAATGCGGTAAGAGCTTTTATTTAGATCCTATTTTAGATACTTATAAAAAGAAAATAATTGAAAATCCAATAGTCGACAAACTATTGGATATGATTGCAAAAGCAAATATAGACAGGTTGGATTTTGGACTCAAAAAAAATAACCAATAATCATTCTCATGTTGTATTCACAAATGAGGATAAATATCAGAACTATCAACCTGATCCTGACTCAAAAACCAAAATAATATATAGTCATAAACTATTTCAGTATGGTGATATGGTTGGGCTTCGATATTATTAAAGTCAAACCGGATTCCCAAGGTCAAATTCCTGGAATCCAATTCGGAGAAAATGCTGACGTCATCAAAAACCCAAGGACAAATCCAGAATATATGATATGCGCCGGTGCCGCCACGTACTACACTACTTTTAAACGGTAGATATAGGCATGTTTTTACCCCCTAAAAATTTTTTATCTGTTCGGATCTCCTAGCTGAAAGTCTAGTGATCCGAAAATTGTAGGGATCAAAACTTACCTATTCGAAAATTTCAGCCAGAAAAAAGGCTCCCGAACATTCTAGGTGACCGTTTTAGGATAAAAATTCGTTAAAAATGGGCAATTATACCATTTTTTAGATGTTTGAAAATCCTAAGAGGGGCAGGCGAGCAAGAAATTTTACTACAAATGTTCCGAAAATTCTAGATCTCAAATCGTCTTCTGAACAGATATTTTCCGAAAATTGACGTTGGGTGCCCCTGAGTAATCACCGTGTTTTGAAGTGACAAATCCCGACTGAAGTCTGTCTGCAACACTTTCTCAGGAATAATCGCAATCGCTTGAACTGAAACAGGATTCACCGATGCACTTCACGCCAGAAATAAATGGTCCCAAAACAATCTACTAAGTACACAATATGACATTCTTCCTGTAAGATAAACAGAGCACCATACCAACTCCTAGTAATGCCATCCTTTAGATTTACGAGTTCTCGGCTCTCAACTTCGCGTGGTCCAATGTTGCTGCAAACGCATTTCTCTCACAATATAAATTTATAGGCTTTCTCTGACGTCAGAGCCACCTGTATCGGCCTTCCATATTTCCAGAAAAGTAAATCACTTTTCAAGACAAAGTACAGACCTCGCTACCGGCTTTTTATTTAGTATTTTACAGAATAGTTGTTGGGATTGAGCTCAGACACTTAACCTCTATTCTTGTTTTTCAATTGATGAGAAAAATCCCATTATTCTTCGAAAGAGACAAAAACCAAATGAAATTTTAAGAGCGTTAACCACCCCTCCCCCCCACCCCCTGCTTTGAGTGGTTCTCACAGTAACATGAAGTCTATGAGTCAGCAGATTGCCATCGTTTCTATGTCAACCATTACCCGGTATTGAAAGAACGGCTTTTGATTAGCTACAGGCCTAATTCCTGATATTGCTATGGCGGAAACATTTCAGCTACTTGCAAATATCATCGATTCAATTTAAGCGTGGTACGCTTGGTTTGCTTTAGGGCCTTTATTGTAAGGAACCAGGATATCACATCTACACGGGCGTTCAGTTTGGAAATTTATTTCTCACTTAGGGAATACATGTATTTCTTGAGGTTATTACTTACAGCGTACCGCTTACCATGTAGCTACCAGGGACCTTAAGGTTATGTTCATACTATACAGGATAGTTCAGTTTTCGTGCCGACACGAAAAAAAAGAAGCCATCCAGTATCGTATGAACACTTATCCGTTATGTGACTGTACATTAGAGATCGGCCCGGCGCTGCTTCGCTCCGTTACAGAAATTGTGCCGTTCTTTCTGTGATCATAAGTCCTATCTGGTATAGTTTTATGCCGGTAAAGTGGTCACAGCCTGAGATCAGACGACAGCGACAGCGACGAGAACGGGCCAGAAAATCAATGGGTTCTGAAAAAGCAACAACAACAACAACAGCAGCTTTGCACGTGCAGCACACTTTCTTTCTTCTACACTTCTTTGCCGTCAACGCAAGACCACGACGGGAAAATGTCCATTTTCAGGTTTTATAAAGGACAAAAACGAGCGAAGACCAGATTTTCCTTCTCTTTATGGCCTCTAGATATGTTCCTAAGGAATTCAACTCCAGTAGATTTCGCCTACATTTGACACAGAAAGTGAAATGGAATAATTGAAATGAAGATCGAAAAAAATGCTAATTCACTTTTTAAGCGACTTTTTCGTCGCCGTTGCCGTCGCCGTCCTCGGATCTTAAGTCCCTAGTAAGTAAATTAGGACGCCGTTGTAATAAACCGTCATAAACTGAGTCGTATTCCATCGGGCGATCACAAGACAAGCAAACTTCATTGATGATGTGGGGAAGTGACAGAGGCTTTTGGAGTGGCATTCATTCCGCTGGATCCATTGCTTGTTGTTAATGTGTACTGCGGCGGTGTTGCACTTGCTGTGTACTCTGGTGGGGGCTGTTGGAAGTTATTATTGACCGGTTGCGGGAGGTGAGGTGTGGTGCTTTCTTCTAAGTGCCCGTAAGGAACGTTGGAGAATGCCATTAAACGTTGTTGCCGCCTCCGGTTATAAGAATAGCCGAAGATTGCGATAACAGCAATGACAGTAACTACACATGCTGCGGTAACTCCTATGATGATGTATTGATTGATGTCTATATTGCAATTTGAACCTTGACAAGTCCCACTACAACAGCTTTCTAAAATTTGACAATCGCTACTCTTCGAACAGGACTGAGCGATGCAATTCGTGCCATTTGCACACTTCTGACCACAGCAAACTTGACCACCAGAGCAGTCAAAGTTATCAGTACAGCCTTGACCACTACAATCTTTCCCGTAAACACACAAATCATTACAGCATGATTCATCGAAACCACATTCCGACTGGAGCACGCAGGAGCGACCGATGCAACTGTTGCCTGGAACGCATCTGGAATTACAGCATACCGCGTTACGTGGACACTGAGTGTTGGAAGAGCAGTAATCACCGAGGCAACTCGTGCCATTTTTACACTTCTGACCACAGCAAACTTGACCACCAGAGCAGTCAAAGTTATTAGTACAGCCTTGACCACTACAGTCTTTCCCTTGAACACACACATCATTACAGCATGATTCATCGAGACCGCATTCCGACTGCAGCACGCAGGAGCGACCGATGCAACTGTTACCTGGAACGCATCTGGAATCACAGCATACCGAGTTACTCGGACACTGAGTTGTGGAAGAGCAGTAATCACCGAGGCAAGGTGTTGTTTCGAAGCGACAACTCCCAACTGAAGTCTGTCTGCAACACTTTTCCGAATATCCGCAATCGCTCGAGCTGGAACAGGATTCACCGATGCACTTCACGCCAGAAATAAATGCCCCCAAAACAATCAACGTACGCAATATGTCTCTTTTCTTGCAAGATAAACAGAGAACCATACCAACTCTTAGTAATGCCATCCTTTAGATTTGCGAGTTCTCGCCTCTCGACTTCGCTTGATGAAATGTTGCCTCAGACGGTTTTATCACGGAAAAATATGTATATTTTATAGGCGTTTTCTTACGTCAGATCCCCCTGTATCCGCCTTACTTACTTACAGAAATATAAACCACTTTTTAATGGCCTCAATAAGCGATAAAAGATCGGTAAACCCTATGACGTTGCCAAGATAATTCATTGTTAAAATAGGGTCACTCTTTTCGGATCCAGTGTAAATTGAACCACTGATTGATTTAATATAATGCGGAAGCCGTACTGCAGGATTTTCAATTGATTTATTACGTCTATTGAACTTGCATAAAATTTAACAAGCGCTATCAGAAATTTAAGGAAGTGAGTGACAGTGAGACTTAAGAGCTCTTGACTTGACTAATTTTAACCACAAATCTTGATTGATTTAATATAATGTGGAAGCTGTACTGCAGAATTTTCAATTGATTTATTACCTGTATTGAACTTGCATAAAATTTAACAAGCGCTATCAGAAATTTAAGGAAGTGAGTGACAGTGAGACTTAAGAGCTCTTGACTTGACTAATTTTAACCACAAATCTTTTAATTGACCCATTTTTTTAAATTGACTGAAGACTTTGCTTTTTACGTAGAGCAGAAACATCGCGACGTAATTGACCAATCAGATCAATAACCAGAGTATAATACCATCAACTGACGTGATACAACTCACTTTGATTCTGAAGATGACTACCGCACAGGTTGTCGAAACGTGAGTTACTGTCGACAACAGTCCTATTCAGGACTACGTTCACCCGGACGATCAAACTCAACCTACTTTTGAAAACTTTATTAATAACCAAATAAAATTACAGACTGGAGAAACACAGAATTAAATAAATAAATTGTAAAAGTAGAAACTAATAAGCAAGATTGTTGTTTTTTGACATGTTTGACTAATTGAACGTTAGTGATTTTCTTCAGTTGATTCTCTAGATGTTAAAATTTCTTTTCGTAACGCTTGGTTTTCTTTCCTTAGTTTCTCAGTTCCGGTCATAGTTGAGTAAAAGTTAAAAGATTTAGAAGAAATTTGGTAAGAGTGAGTGAGTGTAGTTGACTACGTAGTGTGTGACCAGGGTCTTTTATCACACGTTGCAAATTTTGTAGTCAAAGGTCCACTGCATTTGTTAGACCATAGCCCTATTACTACTTGGCTGAATATTAACAAAAAGACGAGTTACAATCCCACCATACTTGAAGGAGATACTTCAACGCGTTTACCGAAACAATTTCTGTGGGAAAACGACTCCGCTCAAAAATTCAAGGATGCTCTGAGGTCTCCCTGTATACAAACACTAACACGCGATTATATTGCCGGCGACACATTCAATGAAAATACTGAGCTATCCCTCGAAAAGGTGGAAAACATTTTAATCGCAACGGCTAAGTGTTGTTTAAAGATAAGAGCAGGTAAAACGTGTAAGCGTATCAAATCATTATCAAACAAAAAATGGTTCGATAAAGAATGTCGTTTGAAAAGGCATGAATTACGAAAACTAGCAAACAGGAACATCGAGACCCTTTTAATACTATACCATACGTGAGCAATACCATGATACTCTGGCCCAATACAAGAAATTACTTAATTCTAAAAAGAATGATTATTACAATGCCAAGATTTCTGAGCTAGAAAAAACTGAGACAATTCAGACGCGAAACCTTTCTGGCAATGCCTCAAATCGAAGGACGACACTAGAAAAGGAGAGGATGTTCCATCAATCTCGGAAGAAAATCGGCTACAATATTTCCACAATCTTCATTCAAATGAACCTCTTAACCCAGCACAGCAAAACATTTGCAATGAGCTACGACAAAATGAATGCCATGGTTAACACTCTCGTCCTTTAGATTTCATGATAACTGAAAGAGAAATGCGTAAAGCTGCGAAAAAGTTAAAGAATAATAAATCACCATTTTCGGATAAAATTAGAAATGAAATGATAAAAGCTAGTATTGATACACTGATGCCCGTATATGAAAAACTATTTAATTCAATTCTTAACCAAGGGACCATGCCACAGACTTGATGTGGTGGTCTTATCACTCCCATTTATAAATCGGGCGGAAGAAGCGATCCGGCAAACTACCGGCGTATCTGTGTCTCCAGCTGCCTGGGAAAACTATTTTGTTCTATCTTAAACCAACGACTTTTCGAGTATATCGTTTCTTTGAATATACTCCACAAATCTCAAATTGGCTTTTTACCGAATAACCGCACAGCAGACCACGTCTTCACTCTCCGAACCTTGATAGATAAGTACGCTCATAATCACAACGAAAAGATCTATGCTTGTTTTGTAGATTTCAAAGACGCTTTTGACTCGGTCTGGCATGACGGGCTCTTGAATAAGCTGCTGCAAATTGATGGAGGTGGTTCTTTTTATAACTAAATTAAAAACTTATATCACAACTCTTCCTGCTCGATTAAAATTGCCCAAAAACAAACGCGATCATTCCGTTATGCGAGAGGTGTGCGGCAATGCTGTATCTTAAGTCCACTGCTTTTTAATCTTCATATTAACGACCTACCTTTCGCATTTGAAAATATATTATCTGATCCTTTTGCTTTGCCAAACGGTGCAAAACTAAATTCTCATATATATGCAGACTATTTAATCATTTTATCACGATCCACAACAGAACTACAAGATTGCCTCGATAAACTATCTTCATTCTGTACTTCATAGATGATGAAAATCAATCCCAAGAAAACAAGAATTATGGTTTTTCAGAAACGTGCGAGAAAAAAAGGTGATTTTCACTTTCTCATAGATAGTCAAATAATTGATGTTGTACAAGAGTACACTTACTTAGGAACTCGAATGTCCTCATTGGGACATTTTTCAGTCACGTGAACATCTCAAGGAGAAAGCTCTTCATGCCCTCTTCAGCTTGAGACGACACACGAATCTAAGCAAACTAAAAGCAGCTCTCGCCTGTAAAATATTTGATACTATGATCTCCCCTATTCTAACATATAACAGTGAAATTTGGAGTGTGTATGCCAAACGAGATTTTAAGACCTGGGAAGGCTCACAAATCTAGAAGGCACACCTTCAATTTTGTAAGCGATACTCGGAGGTAAACAACAAAGCCTCTAATATAGCTTGTAGAGCAGAGCTTGGTCGTTTTCCTTTAAATATCACTATCAGTCAAAAAATTCTCAAATACATTTTGTATATACAGTCTAAAGATGAGGAATTTCTCGTCAAACAAGCGTTTTTATTGTCATTCGACTTACACTGTAATGGCAAAAATAGCTTCCGCTCTCATTTTATGAATATATCACAACACTTTAAGCTTCCTGACTTTAACCCTGATTTATTAGATACAGCTATGGTAAAAAGCTATGTAAGTTCAATGAAACAGGAATATATCTCATATTGGCAAAACACCCCTCAACATTCTCAAAAACTTGAATTTTGTAGATCTTTTAAAACCGATCATACCTCCTCTAGTTACTTAGACTTAAGAAGAGGAACAGCTGGGAGAAGGGCTTTAGTAAAACTGCGAAGGATAATAGGCATTGCCCTTTTTGTAGATGCAATGTAATAGGAGACGAAGTTCACTTTCTTTTCCAATGTCCTACATACTCTATGATTAGGAATAAATTTTACCATAAAGTCAAGAGTCTAATTCCGGATATTACCCAGTTACCTATAAACGGTTTGATCAATGAACTGATGAACTCTTCTTATTACTTTATCAATATACAATTCATAAAATATAATTTAGCTTGTTTTGATGTTCGTAACAAATTATTATCAAAGTAACGTAATTACCCTGTGTTGTAATTTTGATTCCTAAACACAGCTTTTGCAATACTGTATGTGCTTGTATGCATGCAAATAAAGCTCGTTGTTGTTGTTGAGAAATATTTAACGTGGCAGCTAAACCTAAGGTCATGGAAAAAGTGGAAAGGGCATGGAAAAAGTCATGGAAAGTCATGAATTTGAAGACCTCAAAAGAGTATGAACCCTGTTTTTTGCTCTTGCCCCAACTTTCTCAACAAACTCGCGTGGAAACGCTTGCTATGCAGACTACAACACTACCTAACAACAGCTTTGCACGTGCAGCACACTTTTTTGTACATATTTTTATCGTTACCACTCCACCACGACGTGAAAATGTTTATTTTCACGATTTATGGAGGACATGATTAAGCGACGGTCAAATTTTCCTTCTCTTTACGGCGTGGACGCCAAATTTTCCTTCTCTTTATGGCCTTTAGATATGTTCCTTAGGAATTCAACTCCAGTAGATTTCGCCTACATTTGACACAGAAAGTGAAATGGAATAATTGAGATGAAGATCGAAAAAATGCTAATTCACTTTTTAAGCGACGTTTTCGTCGCCGTTGCCGTCGCCGTCCTCGGATCTTAAGTCCCTAGTAAGTAAATTAGGACGCCGCTGTAATTAACCGTCATAAACTGAGTCGTATTCCATCGGGTGATCACAAGACAGGCAAACTTCATTGATGATGTGGGGAAGTAACAGAGGCTTTTGGAGTGGCATTCATTTCGCCGGATCCATTGCTTGATGTTAATGTGTACTGCGGTGGTGTTACACTTGCTGTTTACTCTGGTGGGTGCTGTTGAAAGGGATTGGTGATCGGTTGCGGGAGGTAAGATGTGGTGCTTTCTGTTAAGTGCCCGAAAGGAACGTTGGAGAATGCCATTAAACGTTGTTGCCGCCTCCGATTATAAAAATAGCCGCAGACTACGATAACAACAATGACAATAAATGCACGTGCTGCGGTAACAGGTATGATGATGTTCTGATTGCATTTCGTCATTTTTACACTACTTACCACAGCGCGCTTGACCACCAGAGCAGTCAAAGTCATACGTACAGCCTTGACCACTACAATCTTTCCCGTAAACACACAAATCATTACAGCATGATTCATCGAAACCGCATCCCGACTGTAGCACGCAGGAGCGACCAATGCAAATTTTGCGTGGAACGCCTTTGCTACAACAGCATACCGAGTTACGCGGACACTGAGTGTTGGAAGAGCAGTGATCAGGGGCACCCAACGAGAATATAGTCAAAAACTACTTAAACATAGCATTGTAAACGTATTTTAGTATTTAAACGGTAGATATAGGCATGTTGTTACCCCCTAAAAATTTTTATCTGTTCGAATCTCCCAGCTGAAAGTCTAGTGATCCAAAAAATTGTAGGGATCAAAACTTATCTTTTCGAAAATTTCAGCCAGAAAAAAGGCTCGCGAACATTCTAGGTGACCTTTTTAGGACAAAAATTCGTTAAAAATGGGCAATTATACCATTTTTTAGATGTTCGAAAATCCCAAGAGAGGCAGGCTAGCAAGAAATTTTACAACAAATGTTCCGAAAATTCTCGATCTCAAATCGTCTTCCGAACAGATATTTTCCGAAAATTGACGTTGGGTGCCCCTGAGTAATCACCGAGGCGAGGTGTTGTTTTGAAGTGACAAATCCCGACTGAAGTCTGTCTGCAACACTTTCTCCGGAATATCCGCAATCGCTTGAACTGGAACAGGATTCACCGTTGCTGTGCACTTCACGCCAGAAATAAATGCTCCCAAAACAGTCTACTAAGTACACAATATGACATTTTATTTGTAAGATAAACAGAGCACCATACCAACTCCTAGTAATGCCATCCTTTAGATTTGCGAGTTCTCGGCTCTCAACTTCGCGTGGTCAAATGTTATTGCAGACGCATTTATCCCAGAATATAGATTTGATAGGCTTTTTCTGACGTCAGAGCCACCTGTATCCGCCTTCCGTATTTCCAGAAAAGTAAACCACTTTTCAAGACAAAGTACAGACCTCACTACTGGCTTTTTATTTAGTATTTTACAGAATAGTTGTTGGGATTGATCGCAGACACTTAACTTCTATTCTCGTTTTTCATATGATGAGAATACCCATTATTCTTCGAAAGAGACAAAAACAAAATGAAATTGTTAGAGCGTTAAACCTCCCGGCATTGAGTGATTCTCGCAGTAACATGAAGTCTATGAGTCAGCAAATTGCCATCGTTTCCATGTGAACCATTACCCGGTATTGAAAGAACGGCTTTTGATATAGCTACAGGCCTAATTCCTGATATTGCTACGGCGGAAACATTTCAGCTGCTTGCAAATATCATCGATGGCATGCTTGGTTTGCTTTAGGGCCTTTATTGTAAGGGACGAGGATATCACAACTACACGCGCGTTCATTTTGGAAATTTATTTCTCACTTAGGGAATACATGTATTTCTTGACGTTATTACTTACAGCGTACCGCTTACCATGTAGCTACCAGGGACCTTAAGGCTATGTTCACACTATAATGGATAGTTCAGTTTTCGTGCCGACACCAAAAGCTATCCAGTATAGTATGAATGAACACTTATCCGTTAGGGACTTGTCAGAAATTAGCAGGGGGGGAGGGGGGTGGGAATTTTAAATTTGGGTTCGCAAATTAGGTGACCCATCCCTCCAATGGGAGTGAAATTTGCAAACCCTCCCCTTAAGCTTGGCCTAAAATAGCATGACCCTCCCCACCTAAAGAATTGAAAGAAAAATGTTCCAGGCTCTTTAAGGTGCAGTATTCCGAGCCAACAAGAAAAAAAAGGAAACAAAAACAAAATAAAAGGAAAGCAAAAGAAAGCTAGGACAAAAAGAATGGAAGCTAACTGCAAAAAGGTTATTGAAACCATTGCACCTCAGCAAGAGTCGCATAATGTTACAGAACCTATTGGCCCATTATCTCTTCATTATGAAGGAATAAGTGGGCTCCTCAAAACACAAAGGCCCTATGCCCAATACGCCTTTGAGGAGGGTTGTTCACCAATGAATAACAGGAACTTATTTTCAAGCAATATCCAAGCTTGAACTTAAATGAAAATCATGATGATGATGAAAGTGATTGTATCATGATGATGAAAGTGATTGTATCAATGCTGATGACAAAAATGATGATGACAGCAGCATTGATGGTGACCCTGAAGACAGTGATGAAAAGGATAGCCAAAATTCTAATAACATTAATAACAACCCAGTTATTCATAATAAAAATGCAATAAGACTCTATAGCATTGCCGTGTAATAAATGAAAAGTAGATGTTTGTTAAATTCTTGCAATAGTACTTCACAGTTTATATCCATAATGCTCCGTTGTTCTTTAATTTTTTTTCTTTTTTTTTTACCAAATAAAGAACTTCCTTTTTCTTCTGCAGGTGAACCTCTACATGATCACGGGCCTATATTTGCATGACCCTCCCCCTTTTAACGGCCCATTTTTCATTACCCCTCCCTTTTCTGAGTCTCAAAAAGTTGTGACCCTCCCTCTGTTTCCACCCCCCCTCCCCCCCTCCTAATTTCTGACAAGTCCCTTATGTGACTGTACTTTAGAGATCGACCCGGCGCAGCTTTGCTCCGTTACAGAAATTGTGCCGTTCTTTGTTTGAACATAAGCCCTATCTGGTAAAGTTTTGTGCTGGCTAAGAAGCTATCCGGTAAAGTGAACACAGCCTGAGATCGGACGACAGCGACAGCGACGAGAACGCGTCAGAAAATCAATGGGTTCTGAAAAAAAAAAACAACAACAACAGCAGCTTTGCACGTGCAGCACACTTTCTTTCTTCTACATTTCTTTGCCGTCGACGCACGACCACGACGGGAAAATATCTATTTTCAGGTTTTATAAAGGACAAAAACAAACGAAGACCAAATTTTCCTTCTCTTTTCTTAGGAATTCAACTCCAGTAGATTTCGCCTACATTTGACACAGAAAGTGAAATGGAATAATTGAAATTAAGACCGAAAAAATGCTAATGCACTTTTTAAGCGACGTTGTTGTCGCCGTTGCCGTCGCCGTCCTCGAATCTTAAGTCCCTAGTAAGTAGATTAGGACGCCGGTGTAATAAAGCGTCATAAACTGAGTCGTATTCCATCAGGTGATCACAAGACAGGCAAACTTCATTGAGGATGTGGGGAAGTAACAGAGGGTTTTGGAGTGGCATTCATTCCGCTGGATCCATAGCTTGTTGTTAATGTGTACTGCGGCGGTGTTACACTTGCTGTGTACCCTGGTGGGGGCTGTTGGAAGTTATTATTGGCCGTTTGCGGGAGGTGAGATGTGGTGCATTCTGCTAAGTGCCCGAAAGGAACGTTGGAGAATGCCATTAAACGTTGTTGCCGCCTCCGGTTATAAAAATAGCCGAAGATTATGATAACAGCAATGACAGTAACTACACATGCTGCGGTAACTCCTATGATGATGTATAGATTGCAATCTGAACCTTGACAAGTCCCACTACAACAGCTTTCTGAAATTTGACAATCGCTTTCCTTCGAACAGGACCGACCGATGCAATTCGTGCCGTTTGTACACTTCTGACTACAGCACGCTTGACCACCAGAGCAGTCAAAGTTATCAGTACAGCCTTGACCATGACAATCTTTCCCGAAAACACACAAATCATTACAGCATGATTCATCGAAACCACATGACGACTGTAGCACGCAGGAGCGACCGATGCAATTGTTGCCGGGAACGCATCTGGATCTACAGCATACCGAGTTACGTGGACACTGAGTGTTGGAAGAGCAGTAATCACCGAGGCAAGTTTCTCTCTTGAGGTGACAAATCCCAACTGAAGTCTGTCTGCAACACTTTTCCGAATATCCGCAATCGCTTGAGCTGGAACAGGATTGACCGATGCATTTCACGCCAGAAATAAATGCCCCCAAAACAATCAACGCACACAATGTGACATTTTTCTTGTAAGATAAACGAAACACCATACCAACTCCTAGTAATGCCATCCTTTAGATTTGCGAGTTCTCGGCTCTCAACTTCGCGTGGTCAAATGTTATTGCAGACGCATTTATCCCAGAATATAAATTTGATAGGCTTTTTCTGACGTCAGAGCCACGTTCATCCGCGTTCCTTACTTGCAGAAATATAAACCACTTTTTAAGACAATGTACAGCACTCACCCTAGCGGCTTCTTAGTTTAGTACTTTATAGAATAGTAGTTGGGATTGATATCAAACACTTAACTTTATTCTAGTTTTTCATATGATTAGAAAAATCTCATAATTCTTGAAAGGAGATAAAGATACAAAATGAAATTGTTAGAGCGTTAAACCCCCCTCATTGACCGCAAAAATAGAAAGTCTATGAGTCAGCAAATTGCTCTCGTTTCCATGTCAACCATTACCCGGTATTGAAAGAACGGCTTTTGATATAGCTACAGGCCTAATTCCTGATATTGCTTTGGCGGAAATTACCTGCTAGCAAAGGTCTCTCACGACGATGCAAAAATGAGAGAAAGGGAAGACTCTCTCTCCTTTCTCTCATTTTTGCCTCGTCTTTAGAGACCTCTGCTAGCAGGGAATGGCGGAAACATTTCAGCTACTTGAAAATATCATCGATTTAGAATCTCATAAATTTTGCATAGTCGTTTGAAATGTCTGTATGCTTTTTCATGAACCTCAGATTTGTTAGGGTATGTTATAAAGTATTATTTGGTTTTGTTAGTGTGCTTATTTTTTACATTCATATGTAGGTGGTTTATTATGAATATATTTGCGTTCGAGGTACGAGAACGCAACCCCTAATTTGTGTTGGTTGTTCTGTATTATTACTGGGTGTCCTGTGTAATTAATAAGGGAGGTTTTTTTTGAGACTGCATTTGTGTCGACACACATTTGCCTCGCTTTGAGGCGATTGCTTACGTTTTGCCTCACTTTGACGCGCTAACTCACGTGGTGATTCGAGTGTTCTCGGCGTTCATTTTTCAAACGTTTTCTGAGGTCTGCTATTTGTCTTTGTAACGCGTACATATCTCAAGAATTTCCTGAAGGTCTACAATCGATGTGTGTTTATTGAATCTTTAAAAATTGTCTTTTGAAAATGTGTGCGACTGCTGGTGCATGCATGAATGAAACCGGGTTGTTTAGCTCGGCGACCGTTGTGCCACAAAGTAAATCTACCGAGTTGTGTAGCTCGGCGGCCGTTTTGCCACAAAGTAAATCTACTGCGATGTAAAGGTCGGCGGCCGTTGTGCCACAAAGTAAATCTACTGCGATGTGAAGCTCGGCGGCCGTTGTGCCACAAAGTAAATCTACAGCGATGTAAAGGTCGGCGGCGCCACTTCATCATGACTAGTGATATTTTCGGCACCGGACAAACGAACATTTTTGCTCTATGTTATCTATTCGGAAAAACTTATAGACCAGCCTACAGTAGCGTCACACTCAAGTCACTGAAATCAACACACTTTATTAAATTACTAAAAAAGTTATTGACGTGAGCCGCACACACATTCCACTGAAGTCTTTGATGATTCCCTTGAAACGTGTGAGAGGTGTAGCGTAAGTGAACCACTGTCCAAACACAATTCATTGTGCTCCAGCGTTCATCCCAAAAAATGTGGGCTTGGGTCTTTAATATCAACACAAGTTAAGAAGACTTGCCAGTAACGGTTTCATTTTTGTCCACTAACAAAAGAAAAAGAAACCCGGGTTAAACGCTAATCAGGCCTTCAAACAACTGCGCCCTGTAGAACATCTTTTGTACTTTCTATAAATTTACTCGCCCGACGCACTCTGGGTCCACTCTGGTCAGTTTACTGTCTCCTCAAATTACAAGCACTTGAGACGAACCATACGATATCACAAGCCTTCAAAAGCTTTTCGTAATGAAACGCAGTTTAAATAGAGGTTTCGCTGTACGTAATCACATCCTTGCATTCAAAATATGCCATAATCATATTTATCTATCGTGAGAACCATCCACTCTTCCCCCTCAACTGCTACCTGTACACCAAACAAACATATCGAACGCACTCTCCTAAGCTCCGATTACTCCTAGTTAATAACAATAATTAATTCTAAATCTACTCATCTAATTCTATTCAATTCTGATTTTGATTGACAGGTAAAATTTGACGTTTTGTAGTTTCCATGGCAACATGAACGATTGAATACAGCCTTAAAATTTCCCTTTTGCTGAGTTTACATAAAATTCGCTAATTAGATTTTCCTATTAACTTGCACACAGCTTACTATAATTAATCATTACTATTTGAAACTTATTTGACCAAATTTTAAGAGACAGGTTTTTAGATAATCAGTAATATAATTGTACTGTAATTACCAAATGTGTCACAAAAATTGTCTGTTCAACTTCCATTTTAAAGTAAAGGTCTCATTATTTAAAATGCGATAAAAGTAAAAATTCTGTCAATTGTCGCAAAATGTTAATGAGTAGATTTTGAGAAATCGTCTTCTGTGTACCATTGCTTTTTTCGCCGCTATGTTTATTTGTCTAATTTAAAACACGCGCTGTCACGCGAGTTACCGCTGACAGCCCGCAAAACTGTGTTCAGACACCTTAATCGAGATGAAGAAAAGTCTGTCAACGTGTTCTTTTGAGTGTGACCATAAATTCATTTAGTGTTTGTTTTATTTGGCCTTAAGTAAAACTTGTATAATCTAGCTTTACTCAGTTTAACTAAGATTACATTTCATTTATCTGCTTCTTAAAAATACATACAACCTTTTTGTAATGTTTTTTCAGCCGACATTTTTTTCTTGTGAAAACTGGTTGTTGTTATCTGATGCAAAACTAGTTCTTAGCTTGACTTGTTTACATACAAGTACGCCATGCAACGAAACAAAGCTAACAAAATCTAGTCCGCGAGACGAGAGGACACGTCAATTTGTCAGCACCATAGATATGTCGCCCCGTGAAAGCGAATCCAAGACGGGCTGGGATTCTGGATTCCGGTATTTGTCAGTGGAATTTGGATTCTTGACTCCTTAAGCTGTATTCCGGATTTCCAATTCCAGGATTCCAGATTCCAACCAGCACGTTCAGCTCAACGCGATAGCGGCCAGTGAGTTTGAATGTGATCAGCACTGTAGGAGCTGTTCATTTTCTGAGAAATTTTCAAATTGTTGGTCGAAAGTTGGCCCTTGTGGCTGGTAGAAGGGATAATCTTCTTCAAGAATGCTACTGGTGACTCCCGTGTTGTCCGTGGGGGCAGCAATATTTGATGTTATACCTCTAGTCGTTGGATGTCGTCTTTTCGCTTGCCGTCGTCGATAGATGAGTAATATCACTATGATCAGAAAGACAACGGCTAGAAATGCAGCTATCGGCCAAACAATGTATTCAACATGTTTACAATCACTTGAACAGGTTCCTCTACAGCAAACTTCTGTTGCTTTACAGTTTGTCTCGCTGATGCAGGATTTACCGATGCAAGTTAAACCGTCCTTGCAGTTGCCACTACCGCAAGATTGACCACTGGAAAAGTCGGAGTTACAATTACAACGTTGTCCGAAGCAGTCGTTCCCTTTAATGCATTTTGAATTACAACATGCTTGGTTAGCGGAACAATCGGAGTCGAAAGTGCATCTTTGACCGAAGCAGCTACTTCTCCGTAAACATTTCGACTGACAGCATGCTTGATTAGCGGAACAGTCAGAATCCATCGAACAGCTTCGGCTGGCGCAATTACTCCCAAACACACATCTGTTTCCACAACATATCAATCTGTCTTTCTGATTAGCGCATTCGTTATCCGTGCGGCAAAAATGATTGAAGCAACTTTCAAGACGACACACGCCATCAAACCAAGACCCCGTTCCGCAGCAGACCCCACTACCGCAATCAACGTCGTCGGAGCATCCGCCGATAATCCTGACAAAAATAAACATATAGTCAAAAAGTGCAAAAAGTGCAACGATCTTCATAGAAGAAACTATGACTCTACGTTCTCTTAATATCACACCTTTCCGGCTCTATTAAATATGATTGCGGAAGTTTCTTTGTCTCATCTGTAATCATGTATACTGGGGAAGCTGTATTCTTTCTGTGTTCAGGTGTTCAGTTTGTTGATCTGATGGTGGCCTCTGCAATTGGTAGAGTGGATTATCCTGCCCAGTGATGCTACTGGTGACTTCTGTGTCGTGCAGTTTGGGTGCAGTGATATTTGATGTCTGATCGCTAGACATGAGTTGTCTTCTTTTCGCATTTCGTTGTCGATAGAGAAAGAATATCGCTATGATGAGAAGAATGACTAGAAATGCAGCTATCGGCCCAACAATGTATCCAACAAGTCCAGAGTCTTTACAGCCAACAATTGAACAGGTTCCTCGACAGCAAATCTCTGTTGCTTGACAGTTTTTGTCGCTGATGCAGGATTTACCGATGCAAGTTAAACCATTAGTGCAGTTGGCACTACAACAAGATTGTCCACTGGAACAGTCGGAGTTAAAATCACAACTTTGTCGGAGACAGTTTTTCCCTGTGATGCATTTTGAATTACAACATGCTTGATTAGCGGAACAATCGGAGTCAAACGTGCATCTTTGACCTAAACAACTGCTTCCCTTGAACACATTTTGAATGACAGCAAACTTGGTTAGCAGAACAATCCGAGTCCATCGAACAGCTTCGTCCGGTGCAGCTTTTCCCGGAAACACACACTGAGTTGCAACATGCTTGATTAGCGCGACAGTGGGAGTTAAGCACACATCTTTCACCGATGCAGCGGTTTTCTTGAACACATTTCGAATGACAACATACTTGATTAACAGAACAGTCAGAGTCCAAGGAACAACTTCTTCCCGCGCAGTTGCTTCCGAAAATGCATCTATTTCCGCAACAAATCAATCTGTCTCTTTGATTAGAACAGTCATTATCTTGGCGACAGAAACTACCAAAGCAACTTCTTAGTCGACATTCTTCATTCCCGCAACAAACCCACGGGATTGATCCGCAGCTACTGGAAGAGCATTGGCACTTAACCTCTACGAAAATAAACAAACAATTGATAAGCGCAATGAGAGAGAGCTTCATCACAAATTGAGAGTAGCTAAATCAAGGCGTGACTGCTATAACAGACCCCTTCCTATTTTATAGTTATTTTATGCATACTGAATTTTGTTTGTCTTATTTGGGTACCCAATGAGACGGAAAAATTGTTCAAAGATCGAACATGTTGGCCTTGTATCATTTAGTGCTTTTGAAGGCAACATGCCGAGGTTCCTTTGAACATCTTGTTAAACGTTGTTGAATGCTATTAATCAAAGTTAGATCAGGTTTAAAAGTGATCAAACTTGTTTAATATATATCCAACATTGTTTTTGACATTTCTTGTATGCGATGGACCATATCGCAATATGTAAGTCACGTTTCAGCTCTCACAACAATGTTGGACGCAAGTACGCTATTGAGAAACAATGGCCTCTGGATTTTTCACATTTTACTTGTTCTATGTCGGTGAACATTGAAAAAAGCTCCCTTCTCAGTAGACCTCTGTCGCATTCCACCACACTGAGTACACGTTATCGAAGGTTTGGTGGAGAATTCCATATAAATCAATGTATTTTGTCGAACCAAGCCTCGTTAAATGAGCTATTGGGCGATTTTCCTAGTTCTCTTCTGCTGAATATAGCTCATATCGTGTGACTCAAACTACCACGAACTTGAATAGAGGTGTCCCCTGAATGGAGGTTGTCCTGGGGTTTGTTAATAATTAACAAACAAAGTTAATATTATATAAACTTTTTTATTCTGTCTCAGAATCTGCAGCAGACATTATTAAGCAGCAGGATAATGTATAAGAATATTGATAATCATGATCTCTGTAATATTGTGTATCGAATTACTGCAAGTGCAGTACATTGATTTAAGGGAGATAGTTCGTGTTGTGAAAAATGACATCATTGTGACAAGTGTACACCCAAAGTTATCAACCTTTTTTGTGGTCCGTCACGTTTTGAGTGGTAAGATGTCCCCCAAATGGAAGTTAAACATGGGTCCTTTTCCCCTGAACAGAGGTGTGCCTTCAATAGAGGTAGCGACACAACATCACATCACGTATAAATTGGAAGATCAATATTCATCAATTTAAAAGTACACATCACCAAGCTCCGTGGTATGGCTAGCCTCCCCGCAGACGTCCTTTGGGGTTCGTTCGTCACGCAAATGAATGCGTGACGAACGAACCCCAAAGGACGTCTGCGGGGAGGCTATGGTAAGGCTATGCCATGTCACCACAGCAGTAGATAAGCAGAGGATGACATCGAAAGAGTCGCAGTGACAATGTTGACTTGGGGGATGGGTAGGTGGTCAGTTACCCAGAAACCTCAATTGATCTTGCGTCTGTATATTTTTGTTGCTGCAGGTTATGTTGGTTCCAAGTCATTCCTGGAGGAACTACTCCAAGTGGTGCATGAGCTAAGAAAAGCAAATCCCAATCTGGTATTTGGTATGCATCTAATGTGTCTCTTGTTACTATCCAGTGTCTGACTTGTACCCAGTCGCTCTTCTTGTTCACGCTTTGATTGACGGGAAGGTTTTAGCAAACTCGCCTGCACATGTGTACCTTTCCATATTTCATTGCGAATAGACAGAGGAATAAATAAGTAACGACCAGGTACAAGAATGACAGTTAGTGTTCTTCTGATTTAAATTTGAAAATGCTGGGTCGGCTTATTCATGGGAGGAAATCTCTTGCGATGTTTGGTGGTTAAAGTAAGTTTGTTCGGTCAAGATGGCTGATATTGGCCAAGTTCTCCTTTGCGTTTCCATGCACCGAGACGAAGTCGAAGTCAATAAAAACGCCAAAAAAAGGAGTTCAATATCCAGCCATCTTGACCAGTAAAGCTTCGTTAAAAAAGAATTTATTATTTGGCCAGAAAGAGAACTTTTTCTTGTGGTACCAACGCGGAAATCTCGAGCGGGCAATATATGCTTATCTTGCAAGCTTGGGTAGCTAATCAGGACACAGGATTCTCTTCATCTTGCCCGTTCGCGGATTCAGCCATCATTCGCTTCAGGCCTAGCCCGGCTTCAAAACAAAACGACAAAGGCACAAAGGAGCTGAGCTGACTCTTAGAACAAAATTTGTGTTCTTTTGGGATCAACAATTTCAAAAAGAGACCGAAGTGTTAATTTCCAAAAAATGTGTGGTGCTGCTTAGTAAGCGAGTAAGCGGTGAAACGCAAAAATTGATTGGTTCTCATCAATAGCGTAGCTTTACCATATGATATACTGTTTATAATGCAACTCACAACTCCTTGATTCACTCTGATTAAAATCTAGCACTCGAAACCTCTGTGTTTGAATTTTAATCAGTTGCAGATTGACTGAAGCATCTCACTTCGAAAGTTCTCAATAGAGCACTTTTCAAGCGTTTACGGTTAAAACGCTATAATGGCTTGTGAAATTAATTCATCGCGCCCAAATATGATGCCTGCTGCTACGTTAACAGTCCTTTTCAGTTGTTTCCAGCGGGTCTGAGCAGGTTGAAAAAGCTGATTATCCAATTCACGGAGACCCGACTTACTTCCTACAGAACAGAACGCGTTTAAGTCTGCCTTGAGTCCTTTAGCATGTCCTCACCTACCTCTTCTTCGTCAGTGATATTTTCATTTCAGTCCCTGTTTATAAAAGTTCATGTGCTTTGCTTGTGTCCAAAGTTGGGAAAAAGCTTTTATATTTTAAGGTGACTCGACCCAGTTTTTTGGGGGGAGTACCATCCTATTTTGAAGCTCTCTGGTATCCCCACCTTTACTTTTATCGTAAGTCTAACACATAGAATGGATAACATATAAATCAATCTACAATATAACACAAAATTTTGGGCGATCGGAGTAAATGTCACGTGGTTATAATGCCACGCCCCTTTGAGGTCTGAGTCGAAATCTGCTGTTGCCGGCATTTTTTTTGTGAAAATCTCTCGGCCACACATAATGCGCATTAGTGCCTTGCGCTGAACAGAGTTTCACCAAAATCGCAAAGAGCCAATTCAGAAAAACAAAAACTCAGCCAAAACGCTAAAAATCTTCAATGTTTATTCAAGTTTGGGCTTATAGAAGATAATGTCACAGTTTTTCAATGACCATGAAATTCAGAATCCGGGTAGTTAGTTAATCAATTGTGGCCCTGAAAAAATTTGAAGGAAAAAAAACCACGAATTTTTAAGAAAATGCCTTTTTCGTGAGAAGGACTCTTAAACGATGACAAACGTCAACAAATAGCTAAAACTATAATTTCTATATGTTTGCTTTGCTCGAAATCACGCGCATTTACAAGGCCCTAAAGCGTTTTGCTGACTTGCAAGGACCCATCTTTTATAACGATGCCCAAAATACAGAGATGAATCTCATAGTTTATTAGATATAATCCGTGTAAAGTTTGCTTATCATTTTCGCATAAATTATGACCTAAATTTGGAAACCGCTGAATTTCTCGAATTGGGTCTTCGCTATTTTGGTGAAACTCTGTTCAGCGCAAGGCTCTAATGCGCACTACGTGTAGCCGAGAGATTTTTACGAAAAAATGCCGGCAACAGCAGATTTTCGACTCAGATCTCAAAGGGACGGGGCATTATAACCACGTGACATTTACACGGATCGCCAAAAATTTTATGTTATATTGTAGATTGATCTATATGTTATCCATTCTATGTGTAAGATTCTATGTGTTAGACTTACGATAAAAGTAAAGGTTGGGATACCAGAGAGCTTCAAAGTAGGAGGGTCCCCCCCCCCCCCCCCCAAAAAAAAAAAAATACTGGGTCGAGTCACCTTAAATAAATGAATTATTACATCATAAAGTTAGTTAAGATCCTTTCACGCCGATCGGACTAGTGAACATGTCGATTATCAACAGTGCGGAAACGAAAACAAATAACGGATGCAATAAGAAAGATGTTCACCAAACTGAGACTGTTTTCTAAGTGATGACAATGTTATTTTTTGTTTGTTTTACTGATTCTTGTTTTAATTACTCCTTTTTCAAAGTATGTGATCCAGTAATGGGAGATGCGGGAAAATTTGTAAGTCATGTTAAGTTTCTTTGTTTACTATTATCATCATCATCATCATCATCATTAGTAATATTATTATTATCATTATTATTATTAATATTATTAGTATTATTTTATAATTTTTTTCATATAGTTATACATATCTTTAACTAAATTGGTAGAGGCGCGTGTGGCCGAGCGGTTAACACCTCGATTTCTTCACCCAGGCGCATTACTATAAATGGCTACCGGGCGACGTACTGCTGGGGGTTGGGTAACCCTGCGATGGACTAGCACCCCGTCCAGGGGGGAGTAGCAATACTCCCAGGCATACTTCATGCTAATGAAACCGGGATAAGCTGCGGTCGTTTGGGCTTTTGGCTCGTGTGCACCTTTACCGTTACCTTAACTAGCCACTAAACGTTGTCAACAGTTACCGGCACCACATAAACGACTTATTGACAGAATCAAGCAAAACAGTCAACAATAGAAAGACTGGACAACCGACAACTTGACAAACAATAAACGACCATTACATGTAAGCTGTGAAAAATCACGGATCGAAACGCATCAACGACATTTGTCTTCATAGCTAATAAGATTACGGCTTAACTGACAGGCGACCAATAACTTCGTGACTAAATTGACCAATCAGGTCAATAACCATAGTTTCATACCTTCAACTGACGTGATTCAACTCACTTTGACTCTAAAGATGATGACTACCACACAAGTTGTCAAAACGTCAGTCACAGTCAATCACAGTCCTCACTCCTATTCGGAACTACGTTCACCCGGACGATCACATTTCACGTACTTATTACTTGTTACTGCTCAAGAAAGAGGTTTGTTTTTGTATAGAATATTAAATAATTCTTTGATTGGCTTATTTACGTTTTGTATCAGTATGTTCCAGAAGAGCTGTTACCAGTCTACAGAGATCAGATCATTCCACAGGCTGATATCATCACACCAAATCAGTTTGAAGCAGAGTGAGTAACACGCGTATTTTTTCATGTTATAGTAATTTACTGAAATTTTTTCATTAGCGTTGCCTAGCATAATTGGAACGGTTTTATGATGTAATAAATATTTCTCGGTGTCTGGTTATGAAACACACATCCTCGTGTTTGATGTAATACTTGCGTACCGTTGCTGATGAACTTCCGTGAGTTTATTTCTTCCTCCGCGGTTCAAATATGAAACTCATATACTCATCATTTCGCTTGCGTACCACTGTTCCATTTGTTTTGTTTTTTACGTCCGTCTAACTTTTTCGGTCTCTCAAGTTGTGGAGACAAGTATGAAAAAGAACGCGGCAATTAACAGGAGAAGACGGTAGGACGTGGGAGAAGAAACAAAGGGCCCCTTCTCCCTCCCCCATGTTACTGAATCTGACTAGTTTGTGACGGGTAACCTTTTCGTTTATCTCCTAATATTTTAACAGGCTTCTAAGTGGCGTAAAGATAACAAATGAAAGTGAAGCGTTTAAGGTGAGTCTCTACTTTGTCTGTACCCTTTTCCACGTGTTACGATTGTAGTGTTCTGCTGCTATTGTATGAAGCAAAGGCCCTTTCACACTAGAGACGGATCATCGGTCTTCAAAATCCGTCAAAATTGAGTCAGATAAAGTAAATAAAGATAAAGTCAGACGGATTTTTTTGTGGCGAACGGGTAGTCCTAATATTCCGTCTGCTTTCTTGGAGTTACTAGTCAGTTGTGTGCAATTACTAAATGTCTTCAAACTGTTGCTCTTTAATCATTGTGCTGTTCGATGTAAATATGTGGAAGTAATTAATTAGCGAACTTTTGACTTACCAAGTGAAGTTGTACGCAGGACAACCATTCACCATTTTAACATAGACCATAAAGCACCTTGTTTACCCACCCCCCCCCCCCCCCAAAAAAAAAAAACATTTTACATAACCGCTGTCTTCGATTTCTCTTGGTACGACTGTAATACCCAGGAGATATTGGAAAAGGTAGTTATGCAAAATTTTGGGGGGTAAACAAGATGCATTATAGTCTATGTGAAAATATCGAATAGCTAATTTTACTCAAAATCAGTCCGTTCTGCAGAGTACTTTTGGAATAACGCTTTTTTTTCTTTGAAAAGGCAATGAAGATTTTACATGAAAGAGGCTCGAAAACTGTAGTAATAACCAGCTCAGAACTGGGTGACCACAAGACTCTGATAGCGCTTGGTAGTACGGTGAATGGTATGTGGATCACTGGCAGTGGATACCTCTCTTCACTTGTCGCTCCTATCTAACTAGGCATCTTCTAATGCTGCTATTTTCATTATTTTTTTCTTAATGTGCTCATTGTGTACCCTCAAGATCCCTGAAAACCACACCCTGTTCAGCGGCAAATACCCATAAGTTGGTAAGGCCAAATAAGGGACTGCCTATTAGTTCTTGTTTGATTTTGGTAGCTTACCCTGACACTGCGACTACACATTCAAGGCTTTGGATACACTTCCTCTTTCCCTCCCTTTAAGGTTTTATTTATTTATCTACGCCGCTAACTTTACAGATTTCTTTGAAATGACATTGCTTAATTTGCTTTCACTCCAAGGCGGTAATAAGTGCGTCCGGATGGAGATTCCAAAATTAGAAGCTACCTTCACGGGAACAGGAGACCTATTTGCTAGCGTACTTCTCGCCTGGTTACACAGACATCCCAATGACCTGGCACTTGCTTGCGAAGCAACGGTATCAACAGTGCAAGCAGTGCTAAAAAGGACTCTAGCTCATGCACAACGTAATAGCGTACTTCTCGCCTGGTTACACAGACATCCCAATGACCTGGCACTTGCTTGCGAAGCAACGGTATCAACAGTGCAAGCAGTGCTAAAAAGGACTCTAGCTCATGCACAACGTAAGTAGCATCTAGTTCACGTGATTCATGTAATAATATGTAATTTGATACATTCATAAATTTTTCAAGCTTAGTGACCGACTTGAGTGAAATCAAAATTCAGCTGGTTTGATCCGAACTGAGTTGACAAAGAAGATTGGTTGCCATAGAGAGATAAACGAGCTAACGTTCCCCCCTTCGTCAGAGTTAATCATCTCGGCCGGTTGTGTGTGCTTTATATATTAAATACCCTGCGAGCAGGGTTTCTGTCTTGCATGGCTTTTAGCATTTACGAAGTCGTTCGCGTCTCTTGTCAGTCGCGTAGTTGGTTTGTTTACGCCTCAAGAGAAACGGGGGCTTAAATAAACCAACCATAAAGGCGATTGACAAGCGACCCAAACGACTTCATAAATGCTTAAAGCCGTGCCAGAAAGAAACCGCTGCTCGCTGGGTTTATATCGAATGGTGGAGCTACGCTAATTATGGGAGCATGATAGCATAAAAAAGTTGATTAACCTTGAAAGTTTAAAAGCTACGGGAAAATGGGCGACACAAACGTGCAACTTATTTCGAAACATTATTGCTAAACGAGTTGAAAAGTGAAGCGTCTTGTGAAGCAGAGACAACTAAAGAGTCAATAAAGACGAAAACAGAAAGCGAAAAGTGTTTCTGTATCCTCTTGTCTAAAGTATTAAGTTTAGATTAATTGTCATGTCCACAAATTTGGAAAATAGAGAAAGAGAAAGACAGAGAACAAGAGAAAGTAAGGCGACAGGCCAGCGAAGCTCAACGAGAAAAAGAGCCAGAGCGAGATAGAAAAAACAAAGGAGACATTTTTAGTTGGAGGAACAACGTGAAATTTTGTAGCGGCGGTGAGAAAATGAGAAATGCTAGCGGCCACTTGGGTGAAAATGAGCGACAGTAGAAAAAAAGAGAATAAGAACACGGACGACATTTCCTCCATAAAACGTGTAACCAGGAAGCTTCTGGAAGTTTCACGTTGTAGTCGTGCAAAACAACGGCAAAGAAATGTACAAAGAAAGTGTGCTGCACGTGCAAAGTTGATCTTTTGCTAATTAGACCTATTTTTGTTTTGCACCGTTCTCGTTGCCTTCGCCGGTTAGCGTTACACGATTTTACATTTTGTTTGAGCAAACTATAAATATTATCGGGAGCTTCGCTTTTAGCCCTGGCTTAATCTAGATATTAATGATTCCTTCATTTACCCTCATTAGTAACCGAAAACAAAATTTAGCTAGCGGCCAGGGCCCAGTTGCTCGAAGCATGGTTAGCGTTAACCAGCGTTAAATACCTTGACAACGTATTGGTTTTGATACTGCTTAACCAAGGGTTAAAGCTAACCATGCTTTGAGCAACTCAGCCCAGGGCGACAGTTGAACACAGTGCCTTCCGATTCCAAATCCAGGGTTCAATAAGCCGCTCGGCTACTCTGCCTCCTTAACTTCTCTCACCTTGTTATACACACTTATAACTTTCACCAGAAGCGAATCACTTTTGAAAGAAAATTTTCTGTTTTTTCAGGATTAGCAGGAGAAGGGAACAAGCCAACACCTGGACAAATAGAGTTGCGTTTAATTCAAAGCCTGGATGATATTAGGAATCCAAATATAGCATTTAAAGCTCATCTAGTAACAAATTGATTGGTGTCCAAATGAGAAGAAATAATTAGCCTTCTGCTCTTTTTACGTACTTCAGGGTTGCACTAGATATAATCCGGATGCAAGAGACTGTGTGGTCTGTTAACTGTAGCTGAACAAAAAAAGATTTGATCAGTTCTCTTCTAAGAGTTCAGCGACCATGAAATCGACTGCAGTGAGAACGCATTACTGATAAAATGAATCAGTCGCGTTCTTTCAAATTGTATCGCGATCATTCCTGCTGGCTCAATGTAGGCGATAATACCAGGAGTTGAATGGTTACAGCCGGGAACCTGATCTAAAAGTTAAAAAAAAAATTGGTGATCGTGGTTTCACGTCCGTAAACGTAAAAAGTAAGAAAACGTAGCAAACGTTACCGTCAATTATAGGTAACAAATAGTAGCTTAAGGTGCGATGCAATTGTGCGACTGGTTGTTTTCTTGCTCATTAAACGATTTTTACTATTGTTGCCTGCTTAAAAGAGTATAAGCTCAATATCGTCTTCTGTAATGAGATGGTCACTGAGAGCGGACCCTTGTAAGCTTGTTCGCTGGTAGGATGCAAACTACAACCGTCTCTCCTGGCTTTTCGCCGTAACGTCGTAAGAGGCAAGGAGAGACGATAGACAGTTGTAGTCGCAGGCGTTCAGATAGTAGACCGCGGGATTAAGATGGGAGAGCGAGCAAGTTAAAGCGTACGCAGTGAAAACGAGGGGAGACTGGTGCGGGAGAGAGATTCCCTACCTTTTTCCCTCTCTAGTCTCCCTTCGTTTTGTTATTTTTATTTATCTTCGTTTTTTTTTTTTTTTTTTTTTTTTTTTGGAATCAAATCGAAACCCCCCCAAAGGCCCCCCCTCCTCCCACGCAAATTTTTTTTTTTGGGAAGACCCTTCCTTCCCCCTTTTTTTTCCCCCTCTCTAACCTGCAAACCTCCCAAAGTGGGCGTTTTTTTTTTTCCCCAAGGGGCCCTTTTGTGGGGGGTTAAATTTATCGGGAAAGGGCTTAAACGGGCAAGTTCCCTGTGACAGTCCTTACATCCACTCTTGTTTCAACCTCTCTACAACGGTCAACTCTCAACAATGGCGACTTTCTTCTATTCCCAAGGTGGCCGTTGTAGAGCGGTTCAACTGTACTGGAACAGGCTATAGCAGGCAAGTTCACTGGTCATGGACAAGCGCTTGCTGCTAAAGTACACCTGTTTCAACAAAGAGGAATGGTTAAATCAGGAAACAGATTTGAATGCCAGTATGATCAATCTAACTTCGGAAATGTATTGCTGGTATCAGTGTATACTGTTCCTGGCTCTAAGATAACTAAAGTGCATATCGCGAAAAGTGACGCAAAAAACACACGTGGGCTAGGGAGATAATAGCTACACGCGTCTTATTTTTGCTTGGCTTGTTTTCGCGACCTCCCTGCTATCTGAGAGCCTGTCACAGGCTACTGATTTTGCAATTGATTGCATGTAGGATTTCTTTATCCGTTTGTCGCTAACCAGGTCGCTAATTGGAAAAATGAATTTTTCAACGCAACTTGCGTTGTTTGCGGTTGTTAATTTGTAAATTGCTTGTTCTTACTAGCCAATTATAAAACAGCCACCGTTTTACGACACCACTGTATAATATTGTAGGGGTTTTTCAATTCAAATTTTGATTAAATCGTGTGGTTTACGGTATATCAATGATAGAATTGTGAAAGGAATAAATATTCTTAAGTATGCTTTTAAACAGCTTATAATAAGCATGATTCATTTAACTGCCATCCCGGTGCATTTGTTATCCATATTTTAAGGGTAATACTGACACAGAGTCAGTGAAGAGTAAGATGTTACGCTCCAAATGTCCGTCATGAATTTTCCCGTAGTTAATTAGGGTGTTTTATTTTGGTCGGAGATTTTAGGACACCCGGATGAGTCTGAATTGTTTTTTTAATCTCGTTTTCTAGATGTGTGTTTATATGAATTCATTCTCATACCATGAAAACGCAAGAAAAATTTCAAACATTATTTTTGGGGAAACCTTTCACTCCTCGTGGCAAGATGATTGTCAAGACAAGATGTCATTTCTATCGGGGCGGGCGGGAGGGGGGGGGATGGGGGCAGGGAGGGTACTCCGCCCTGAGGTTAAGCCCCTTCCCTTTTATACAGCATTTCCGGCAGAAAAGCTACCCTTTTCATATACCTTTCTAGACAAATGGTACCACTTTCACGTGCCTAGTTTAGAACTTTGCATCCTTTTTCTACTGTAAATGTTCCGTCTTTTAAGTAAGAATAAATCACAAAACTGAACATTAATCGATTTTTTTCACGGTCATAAAATGCATCTATTAGCCCTTTTTGTCCTTTTTACGACCGAAATGACAAATCACCCTACCCTCTTATATCCGCACTTCAACCAGTGAAATCTCTACCCTTTCATATACCTGAAGCCTGAAAAAGACACCCCTTTCGGGCGGTGCCTCCCCGTATAGGTTATTATAAGGGGGATCGGGAACCTCCCAACGGTCATTTCTAACTGTTAATGGTAAGGGGAGGGTAGACTTATAACCCTTTTCGTCACCTGCGTGATGAAGCTTATATGGCAGACTATGTTATGATACCAATTGTTTTGCAATGATATGGATGATATATCGACGTTTGACGAGTAAAGCCTCTATAACTCGACCTCCCTGCTAACTCGAACAAAGCCCTATATTTCCCTGGATTTCACCTCGCTTTCATTCATTTACACTCGAACTCGGATAACTCGAATTCTCCCCTAACTTAATATAACTTTCTTTTTCCGGCCTCGATCAAAATTACACTGAAATCTACCCCCGACAATTCGAATTCTGGTTCTTGTTAACTAGCTTGCGAACTGCAGACGAGCGATAAGCGAAATATGTCTGCAATTCGCAGGCTACTTGTTACCCCACTCGGATTGTATAATCGGTAAAAACACAAAATAATTTTAATTGGTGCAACGAACAGGTGCCACCGTTTTTTATGAAATAAGTACATTTACACTGTACTTAACACTGAAGTGCTGAAAAATAAATAATCACCATAATCGGCTCCTGTCACCATTTATTAAAGTGGCGAATTGAAAATTTAATCAATCCAGATAACTCGAACTGTTTTTTGTTTCCGTTCAGAGTTCCAGTTACCGAGGTTCTACTAACTAGCAACGCTGAACAATATTAAAATTTGATTTGTGCTCGCGATCGTGTTTCTACTCGGTTGCTAAAACAGTGATGTGATGGTGCAGAAATGTCTCTTAAAACTTTTTGAGAAATGAGTTTGTGACATGCAGTATACTATACAAATGATCTATAGACGGAGTAAGACAATCAAGTTATGTGCGGATGCATTGTTATCATCAACAGTAAGCTAGACGGGCAAACTTTTGGATGTTTGTAGGTTTACACTGTCAAATCACCTGTAGCCAGTGATAAGACGCCCGTATAGTTTTATATCATTGTTCATATTTGAAACAGAGACTAATGACAAATAGTACAAAATAGCGAGGGGTAAACAAAAGAACGTAACAGGAAAGAACAGAGAACATGGACTAGTCGGCTTAATGGATTGATAAAACATTAATTAAATTTAAAAAATGGATTAATAAAACATGGATTAGTGAAACATCGGTTGATAAAACAGGTGTTATCCATCGATCCATGGTTTATTAATTCATGTTTTATAAATCCACGTTTTATCAATCCATGTTTTACAAATCCAGTCCTTCTTTTTTACTAATCCAATCCAATGACCGGTACTTCCGGAAACGCGGCTCAGTTCACAAAACGATTACCACTCTTGGCAGTACTGACACTAAAATAAAATCACCCTCAATCAGTCGATAAATGTAGATGTAGGCACACCCACGATTCTTTGGATATTTACTATTAGACTTCATTGTTAATATAATTCCAGCTGTGTAATATTGTTTCAGGTTCATGACCTTACTACAGAGCGCACAAAGCATGAACAAAGCCAAAATAGCGAAATAGCGAAATCGCGAAAGGTAAACAAAAGAACTTAACCCAGACCGCTCGATTGAACGAAACTGGAGTTAAACGCAACGCTCTACTGGCATCAGGCATACCGTATCAGATATGGATCGGAAACATGGACTAGTGCAACATGGATTGATCAAATAATGATTAAATAAAAAAAATGGATTAATGAAACATGGAGTAGTAAATCATCGGTTGATAAAACAGGTTTTATCCATCGATCCATGTTTTACTAATTCATGTTTTATAAATCCACGTTTTATCAATCTATGTTTTACAAATCCAGACCTTCTTTCACTAATCCAATCCAATGACCGGTACTTCCGGAAACGCGGCTCAGTTCACAAAACGCGATTACCACTGACAGTACTACTGAACCACATTCTAAAACTCACCGTCAATTAACAAATGCAAGATCGGGGCACTACCTTCGTTATTAGCTACTATCATAGGGAGTCATGTTATCAGACCAAGCACTGACTATCTTGGCGGCAGTTTTCGTCCTGTTTGGAGTTATGGGTTGTATGGTGTTGGCCATGATTCTCAAATGTGTGATAAACTTGGAGGGCGTCGTCTCGTGCAAAATAGCCACACGCAATCCGGCCCAGCAAGGCCTTCCACATCGGCGGGAACCAAAAGAAGACGATGACTACGGTCCGGATAACATTCGCGGAATATTACATAGGTCAGTAGAAAATTTTGCTAAGAGCTGCCAACAGTTTATCGGCTGCACAATCTTTTTTTAATGAGAATGTCTAAGAGTCAAACTGTTCTTGAGATGTTCTTATAATCAATAATGTGTCCCGTATTTTCTTTTCCAATCCGAATTACATTACCGTTCAGAGCTGAGTTGCTCAAAGCATGGTTAGCTTTAACCATTGGTTAAGCAGTATCAAAACCAATATGTTGTCAAGGTATTAAACGCTGGTTAACGCTAGCCATGCTTCGAGCAACTGGACCCAGGTCTGAGTTGATTCCTTCTGCGATAACGCGTAACTGACTAGTGTT